TTTCAGGTCGAATTATTCGGTTTGTAGTTTGAATATTGTTGTGCTTTCTTTAATGAGCTCGAATATACAGGGTGTCCCAGGCTGAGCGTGTAACTCTATAAGTTTCTAGAGAACCACAATATTTAGATTGGAGATTTTTTGCACATCATTATTTTACAACGATTAAAAATATTTTCTAATCGATAACTGATTTCTTTCGAAAATCGACAACTATGAAATTATGATCCCTTCCCCGACACAAACGGTACATTGTGAGACAGGAAATTGTAGAGAGAAACAAGCCCTATAACATAGGATACAACATTTTAATGAACAGTGCTTTTCATAAAATCAATAAAATGAAAAATATACGAAATAATGTACATGTACTGATTTCTTTAGAAAATCGACAACTATGCAACTATGAACCCTTACCGGACACAAACGGTACATTCTGAGACAGGAAATTGTGGAGAGAAACAAGCCCTATAACATAGGATACAACATTTTAATGAACAGTGCTTTCCATAAAATCAATAAAATGAAAAATATACGAAATAATGTACATGTACTGATTTCTTTCGAAAATCGACAACTATGCAACTATGAACCCTTACCGGACACAAACGGTACATTCTGAGACAGGAAATTGTAGAGAGAAACAAGCCCTATAACATAGGATACAACATTTTAATGAACAGTGCTTTCCATAAAATCAATAAAATGAAAAATATACGAAATAATGTACATGTACTGATTTCTTTCGAAAATCGACAACTATGCAACTATGAACCCTTCCCGGACACAAACGGGATATTGTGAGACAAGGATATTGTAGAGAGAAACAAGCCCTATAACATAGGATACAACATTTTAATGAACAGTGCTTTCCATAAAATCAATAAAATGAAAAATATACGAAATAATATACATGTACTGATTTCTTTCGAAAATCGACAACTATGCAACTATGAACCCTTCCCGGACACAAACGGGATATTGTGAGACAGGATATTGTAGAGAGAAACAAGCCCTATAACATAGGATACAACATTTTAATGAACAGTGCTTTCCATAAAATCAATAAAATGAAAAATATACGAAATAATATACATGTACTGATTTCTTTCGAAAATCGACAACTATGAAACTATGAACCCTTCCCGGACACAAACGGTACATTCTGAGACAGGAAATTGTAGAGAGAAACAAGCCCTATAACATAGGATATAACATTTTAATGAACAGTGCTTTCCATAAAATCAATAAAATGAAAAATATACGAAATAATATACATGTACTGATTTCTTTCGAAAATCGACAACTATGTAACTATGAACCCTTCCCGGACACAAACGGTACATTGTGAAACAGGAAATTGTAGAGAGAAACAAGCCCTATAACATAGGATATCACATTTTAATGAACAGTGCTTTCCATAAAATCAATAAAATGAAAAATATACGAAATAATATACATGTACTGATTTCTTTCGAAAATCGACAACTATGAAACTATGAACCCTTCCCGGACACAAACGGTACATTCTGAGACAGGAAATTGTAGAGAGCAACAAGCCTTATAACATAGGATACAACATTTTAATGAACAGTGCTTTCCATAAAATCAATAAAATTAATAAACTAAATCTTAAATAACTTAAAACGATTTACTTTAGGTATAGGAACATGCATAGTCAAAAAGTAACGAATTGAAAAGCCTTTTCACTAGTGAAATAAAATAAAGTGGGTTTCCATTTGAAAAAAATGATTTATGATAATTTTTTAATCGCTCAATTCTATGACAGCTGCTGTCATTATTATATGACATTCGAACAATTTAATTTTTGAAATAGGGGTGTGGTAATCACTTAATTTGACTTTTAGGCTATACCATAGAGTTAAAAATGGCTATACACATATTTTTCGTTCAAAAATTTTAAATATTTTTTTTCTCAAAAACGGCCAATGTTAGGTATACATAGAGTGTTTAGTACTAAAATTCATAAAATTTTACAGAAAATTTAAGTATGTAATAAAAAATGGGGTCACCTATTTAAAATAAAAAAGTTGCTGTCAACTTCCGGTATTTCCGGAAATGTCGCCATATTAAAAATATTTTTAATCGATAGATCTCGTTGTGAAACTATGATGTGCAAAAAATCTTCGAGCTAGATGTTGTAGTTCTCTAGAAACTTCTACTGCACGCTCAACCTGGGACACCCTGTATATATATACGTGTTCCATACGGTATAATATGATTAAAAATGCACGAACAGCCCACCCGTCTGAAGAATTTTATAGTCATCCTCATCAAAAATATCGAACCTTGGGAGATATTATAATTTTGTTTAGTCATTTGTTGCATAAAACTGTAAAATACGGTGTTGCGTATGCGTATATTCGATGATACATCTACTGTGCATTCCAAAGGACGTCCGCACAGTGGCTGATTCAAAGATGACGCCTTTTTTGTACCCTATCTTCTTTCGATCGCTTTATGGTTTCATAACTTGTCTAATATACATCGTGCGAACGATTTACTAAATAGGTTTTCATCTTAATTGGGTTTCGAATTAATTTTTAAATGATGCTGCATTTACCGCTTATAGTTTTTTTGTTAGCTCATAGGCATGTTTACATTTTTTTTTTTCGTTAATAAATACGGTCAAATTGTTACAATATATTGTTAACAGTTAACAGAAAAGATTTTATCAGTCTTGTTTTATTTATTACAATGTCTTTTCCCTCTAGCAGATCATGGTACGTGGTACATTAATTTAGTTTTTTCTAACTTCATTTTGAGACCCACTTTATTGCTGGTTGTATTTAGTTCGTTTGTGCTTGTAGGACTATTGGCAAAATTATGACAATGTTATCAACGAATCTGGGATGGTTAAGATATTCTCCATCTTTTTTCAGTCCTTTGTTGGCTAGGACTGTCAACAGAAGAATTGAGTTTATTATAATTAATTTAGAATGCCACTTTATCTAAAGAAAAAAACATTCGACCAATGTGTACTACCAGTCATGACCTATGTATGCAAAACCTGGACATTTAAAACGGACATTATAAGGAAACTGCAGGTCGCACAACGCTCAATGGAACGAAATATACTGGGAATAACCAAAAAAGACCCTAAAAGAATAGAGTGGATACGACAAAAGACCCAAGTAATAGATGTCATCCACAGAATCACATCCCTCAAGTGGAAATGAGCAGGATACCTGGCAAGAAGGACGGACAATAGATAGACCACAAAAATTACAGCATAATAGCCACAAGGAATTAAGAGACCTAGAAAAAGACCAAACCTGATAGACCATGATATTAGGATGACTTAGACCAGCAACAGACAAAAATAGTCCCAGTACTATTACTAGTACTACACCATCGAATCAAGAATGCACTAATATAATTTGAATTTTTATATTTCGACAAATTTAATTTTTTTGTCAATTGTTAACTAAAAATTTCTTCACTGGCGTTATGTAAACGAAAATAATATTTTTTTAAGTAGTTATTCGAAAAATTATATAAACAAGGATGTGCATGCAAGACATATCGTTATAATTCAAAGGAAATTATAGTGGTGATTGCTTGGAAAGAAAGTTTGACAGAAATAGTGCGGAATATAAGAAAATAAGCGTCAATTTTTCGGTTTAATTGTCGATGAAAAATGTTTCATGACGGATGTATATATATACTTATATATTGTTTTTATTGAGAACACTTGCTGACCAGGCGGCATACTAATAAAATAATAACAGTATTATGTGCAGTTAGCCTCACGAAACTAATTCAATTATTTGACCTGGCTGTTCCTCTTAATTATTCAACAAGTGCCTTATGATTGGTGCGAAATATCGTGACCGACAAATGCTAGCTATTGGCGCGAAAAGTTCTCTTGCTTTTTACGACTGTCTATAATTTATGGACTAAATATAGGTAACAAATATTTATAGACCTTAAGGGTATGTTCGGTAAGTTATATTGCAAAAGAGAAACGATAATTGTGAGGCAGATCGGTATTTATTTGAACCAACAATAGTGTGCAAAGGATAAATTTTTATTACTTATGCTGTGTGTTACAGCAGGCTCGAACCAAACGCATATTTGCAATAAAAATTACGATGATGTTTTTGCTACCTTCACATTTAAATGTCGGTATTTTAATATCGCCAGCGAGCATAGGATTGACAATGTAATATCCTCTTCTTCTGCTTCTTTTATTTACTTTTTCACTATTCACCGTCCCCGGTCAAAGGATTTTTTTTAATATCTCCAGATTCCAAATACCTAACACATCAGTGATCTTTTTTTTATTTTCAGTAATTTTTAAAATAATTTTTTTCAAAAAAAATTTTTTTTTTTTAAAAAAATCAGTTACTAAGGATTTCAATGCAGTTTCTTTTAACAAACAATTAATATTATTTTTTAGAAGACATAGTTTAATATATTTTCGTTTTAAATTTTCAAATTGTTACGATTGTATAATATCCTTAATTATTAAATAAATTATACAGGGTGAGTCTTAAATAAGTGCAAATATTTTCAGGGCTGGTAGATCTCGATAAAAGAAACATATTTTCTCTTTACCGTTTTTCAAATAAGTCCAAAATAACCGAGTTATTGATTTTTTGCTCAAAATTTTGAGAACCACTGGATCTTTTCTGGGTTTTCTTTCTTGTAAATTTAATCTACTACTTATGTTGCCATATTATCAAGAAATTATGTTTTTTTTAATTAAAAACTAAAAAAAATTCCAAAAACTTCATAATCGTGTTTCTGGTGTCGAAATATACTAGCCCTAAAAATATTTGCACTTATTTAAGACTCACCCTGTATATTTGCTATCCAAGTGGTTTTAAATAAGACAGTTTGTTTTAATAGTTCCATGTATTGTTTACATAAAAAAAATAGAATGTTAATATGATTAATATTTTAATTAATAAAATAATTTTTACTATAGTATAAAATATAATATGATTTTTTAAGAAAAAAAAAATTTTGGGACTTACCCTTTTTTTTCTCTCTTCTTTCTACCTTTAGTGGTACCTTTGATAGTTCGGTACAAAGTAATCATTATTCCACACTAAATTAAAGTATAGGGAAAAAATAATTCACTGATGCAAAGTTTGAACCGAACACACTACGCAAAAAGTGTTTTTTTTTTACCGAAAGAACCGAAATGGGCGCGTAAATCTCATAAAGTACCGCGTGGCTTATCAAACGCCGGAACCTGCAGTGGTACCTCGTGGCTCATGCATTAAACTGTGAATATGTACTGAATAACATTAAGAGGCGCGTCGCTCTAACTTTCGTAATGCCAAAGAAAGGGGCAAGTGCCATTAATATTTTATACTTTTTACAATTATTACTTCATTCAAAGTCTATAAAATTAATACATACATATATCCACCATTTTATATTTTTGCTGTTATTAAATTTATATACGTTCTACCTACTTTGTATTTAATAATTTCAATAACTTTTTCTCAAAAGATTTTTTAAGCCATATTCCTATTTTTAATATTTTTTTAATAGTAAAAGAAAAACGAATAAATATATTATCTATTAATCCTGATAACTACAATAACGTTCTTATTTTCATTGAATTTAAATTTTCATGACCACGTTTATATTCATTTTTGCAGAAGAATATTTTAATAATAACTTTATTTATATAAAAAGGATTTTTGTGAAATTCAACATTATTAAAGTCCTTCAAGTAATGTTCTATAAACATACTATTGAATCATTATAATTTTATAGGTCTTTCTGAATGATTATTTAATTTTATAGTTGTTGATGCAAGTAGTTTTCTTTTAGAAAGATAATAAAAGCCTTATTTATGAAGTCTTTACGACGAAATATTGTGTACAATTTATTGAAAAATCTCTTTACTATCAATCTCTATTTCCGTACGCCTTTTCATAGATCATAAATTACAAATAGCATCTAAGCCTTTGATCCCTGTTGCTATTTGATTTCCCATTCATTTATTAAATGTTTTTATCAAACACATTATTCAAAAATATACACAGTTTAAAAAAAGATTACTTTATTGAGATCTATACAATGATATTTGTGTTAAATATATAGTGCAAAATGTTTTTGTTTTAATTTTCTTTGGTAGCAGTTGTTATTTTATAACAAGCTCTCATCAAAAATATAACTTTATATACAGGTATATAAAAATCTTAGTACTAACAGGTTTTTAAAATATACAGGGACGGTCATGATACTTGACTAACATTTCATGGATGAGGCATATCCAGAAAACGTATTTTCAATATGTTTTAATTACCAAAATAATCCTTTACCAGAATCCACTTTCAAAAAGTGTTTTAAGGTGTTTCTATTTAATATAGCTTCTTTGGTACCTTGTAAAAGGATATATTGTCCATTCTAATCAAAATATATACATCAGAAATATTCCTTTTCCAGCTAACGTTCTGAATATGCCACTGTTTACAGAAAATGTTGCCACAGAACACAGTGGTTTACAGAATTAGCAGAGATAAATTAGTTTGGCACTTAAGTCGTTTTTGTTCTTCCAAAAATGTCTCAAACATCGGTTTGTGGCACTCCCTGTGATAAAGTCGATTGAGATTTTGTTCTGTTTCGCTGTTCAAGTACTGGCGTTGACTTTCTTGGTAATTTGCGTTCTCCATTGGGACTGTGTGACACAAAGCTTTGTAATTCTTTTAAAGAAACAGTTTGGAATGATGAGGCACTATTGGTCCTTGCTGGAGGAACGTATTTTTCTTGGTACATTTCTGTTGACCGTGTGTTTTCAATACCATCATCGTTTTCTGTGTCTGATGGGTACAGAAACGTGTTGTTGTAGTAACGATCTGAAGACCTAAAAAAATATATATCTTTCATTAACTTCGGGGTAAAGTACGAAAGCGTAGAGCTGGCCATACCAACGTTGAAAAATAGTTTAACAAAATTTACAGTTTTTCTGTAAAGTTTTTCGGTATATTCTAAATTTACACTTTTTCTGTAAATTTACACATTTTCTGTAAATTTACAGTTTTTTTGTGTAATTTGAGATTTCTTTGGAAATGTGTAAATTTACAGAAAAAGTGTAAATTTTTCTGAAAATATTTTTCAGTGTTGCGATGGCAACTCTGCGCTTTCGTAGTAAAGAAACATAGATTCCCTCTACTGCTTACTACATTTAGATTCTACTACATACTAAAGGTTAGTAATGATATCATATATTTCTATTGTTAGGAAACTACGAATCCAAAATAATTCTTAAAAGTTTCCTTTACCTTTCTTACCTCTTTGCGTTTCTCCATAACATACAGCAAAGCACTAATAACACAATTAGCAGCAAACAAAATACACAAATGCTCCAAAATGCTATTTGCAGCGGTGTTCGAGGTTCCCACCAGAACTAAAAACAAAGTTTATTACATATTTTTTGATTTAAACTTAATTTTTTATGATATATACCTCAGTAGTAGGTGGATATGTAGGAACTAAATGCCCAACGACTCGAGGAATGTACATGGTCCAAAATGCCGATTCCGTTTGTCTGAAGTTCCACATTATTGAAGAATTGTATGTTGTATTCAGATTCAGATATTTTAACTGCCCATTTTTGCATTCTTCAAAATGTAGCCCTAATATCTGCGTGTAAGATGGGTTGCCATACCTGGCGAAATCAGTGTAGGCCTTCATGAAGAAATAGCTCATATTTCTGTCGTTATTAGTCCATCGATCTCTGGTGAATCGTTCATTAGTAGGAAGCATTTCCACATCTAGGAATGGAGCACCACACAGTAAATAGTGTTCGATGTCATGTGGCACTTTCTGCCATTCGGGTAGGTTGAACGATTCTATTGTGGTATTTAAGACGTACATGTATACAGGGACATTTTGTTCCACCAGTAACTTAATCATTTTGTCATTTGGTGCGGTATAAAGGAAATCTGAAAGAAGCTGAATGTACTTTTCCCTGATCATAGTAACATTGTGAGGGTCAGGCCAGTAAGTGTACATATACTTGATCGCGTCGAATGTTCCATTAGGATTTAATGTATAGTTATATCGTAAAACTAATTCCCAGACTTTTTGATCAAAGAACCCTTGGTCAATTTCATATGTAGGTGCTAGACTTCGGTTGGTTGCTAAAATGGTATAGTAAATAATTAATCATGTAACGTTTCTTATACTGTAGGCTAACTTATGAATGTTGCAGCTTCCTGCAAAGTGACGCTCGTCATATATCTCAGCCCACTATTAAACATACGCTTCCTTATCAAACTCTCGGCGCTTTCATCTATGAAATGCCAATCCTTTTCGTACCATCCTTCATAGTACGGCATGGACAAATTCATTTCCATCACCGGCGACCATGGAAAAATACCTACTTCCGGGGGAAATTCTGCATTTCCTATTTCAAAGGCGCTTCTTGAGTTTCTTAAACAGTTGATTAAACGCCAAGAGGACTCAATGCTGCAGCCCATTTGTCTTCCGAATACTCTACTCGTGTTTTGAGCTCTATAACGGTCGAAGATCATTGACCAGTCAGCCACAGCCGATCCACTCTGGAAAAAAAGAAATAGTTGACAAGAAATCTACCATCAGATACTGTTATAAACACAGAGGTTAGAGAATCAGATAATGTTTTATATGAAATAGTTATTATTACTTGAGCTATGACTTTGGTGACGATGTTTCTGGTTTGGGGCGCTACCATCAGCAATCCAGCAGAAGCCGCACCTGCTCCTGGACCAAATAACGTGATGCTTTCTCGGTCTCCATTGAATTTCGCTGCATTATCATACACCCACTGCAATGCCATAACTTGATCCAGAATTCCGTAGTTTCCCGGTGAGTTTATATCGCCGGTGCTGAGGAAACCTAAAGCTCCTAACCGATAGTTGAACGTGACAACTATAACATTAAAAAACGTCGCCATGATATGCCCTGGAAATGTGTTGGACGCTCCATGGATGAAGTCTCCACCGTGGATATAAACCATAACTGGATATTTTTGACCTGCACCTTCATTCTAAAAAAAATACATTCTTAAGAACTCGTAAATTAGTAAGACATTTAGTTAGAACTTACCACATTTGGGGAGAAGATGTTTAAGTAAAGACAATCCTCATCCATGTCACGGATTCCAGAGTTAGTCCCTGTGTATCTGGCTGGTTGGGGACAGGCCGGACCAAAATCAACAGCCTGAACAATTTGAAAACCTCTGTGTAGTCTTGGTGGCTTGAATATTTAGAAAATATTGTATTGAAATTAGATTGGCAAGATATATTAGTTAAAAATCAAATTGTCTTGAAGCTTTCTGATGATATTAATAAGTTTGTTAGTAGTATATTTATATAAAGTTTTAGAACCATATTTAGAACCCATTTCCAGCATATTTTCATTATATTTCCTACATATGCTGAAAATTCGAAAATGCTCTGACCTCTGACCACATAAAGTTTTTTTATATCCCTCTAGTCTGCAATAGCTGTGAGTAAACAAAAGTAAAGCACGAATACTATATTTAAAAAGCTCCACGACCACAGGCGGCTACAGCTTTTCATCGCTAGGTGGCGCTAGTCATGTTATATATTTTTTTATTTTTTGGCAAATATAAAAAATAATGAAGATGCTTACCTTAAATCGTCCTTCGTTGATGGGAGCTTGTGCATAGGGTATTCCCAAAAACACGCTGGTTACACCCATTTGTCTTTCGATGAATTCCGATCCTGGGCGATATAGGGAGTCTGGATCAGGGTTATCAAAGAGATAGACTTGGAAACCTTGGACATCTCCGTAGGTCGTTTTTACAAAAATGTCCCTTTGTAGTTCTTTGGTTTGTTCGCGTCGTTTGCCTTGGAGGTCTTCGCGCCATCCTCCAAGAATGCCAGGAAGGATAGGTTCAGCGTTTCCTTGCTTTAAAGAAAAACTCATTTTTATCTTAAATTTACTGATAATACCAATGCTTGGCCTTTTATGTTGAAAACAATATTATCTCTGTAATTTTTTCAAACATTGCCCATTACATTCTGCTTTAGTTTTGGCTTGAAAATTATCCCTTCATCATAAAATATTCGTTAAATTTATTATTCACATCCTATCATACTTACCGACAATGAACATATAAATATTAATGTTATAAATGCTCAAGTAAACATACTGAGTGTGTATTGTTTCTCTTTATTTCGAAATAAAAAAATTAAAAGAACAATAACAAAAATGCAAATTTAGATCTTTTAAATATTACCAAGTAACTTTCTCGTTTTAAATTCATTAGCTATATATGCCTACAAATAAAGTAAAAAGTATTGTATTTGTTAGTTTGAACGCTGTTTCTTTCATGACTTTTTTTCATTATGATTCTAACGGCAATTTTGGCATTTAAATAAGTTCTCAAAATTCACCGTTGTCAATACAAACATTAAATACCCAATATCTTCTTTGTGATGTATAAAAGTACTTACTCTATCGTAAGAGAATCTTTCGTCTTGGCCTCTTATTCTAGGATCGCCTGGCACCCCGTAGTAATAATTATTCTGCTGGCCATATCTTCGGCCTTTATAAACAAATGTCCTGTAATCTTTATCCCCTGGGTTGGGAATATTATATTGTGATCCACTATAATAACTTTGCTGATTTGTTTGGTAAGTTTTTGGCCTGTACCCCCCATACTCGTCGTACTGAGCCAATATTATGTCACTAACAAACACTATCACTAATAATAAAATCAGTTCGATCTGTTGTTGTCTTGTCGGCGCCATTTTCGATCGTCTATGGTTTCGTTTACCTGGCTGACGTCACTTCAGGTGAAAAAGCCCACCTTTAAAGCCATGGGTTTCTTCGCTTTACCACGAGGTACTGTAGACTAAACGCAAACGCAATACACTTTTGTTTTGTTAGTCATCTTAATACCACACCCATCAAGTGAAATTACTATATTAAAAAGTATTTATTGTATTACAGGTAGACAAAAATACTGATAGGATATGACACACTTTTCTGATATAGAGAAAAATTATCTTTGTTCTTATCAGGATAAATAAATATTATTAAGCTCGGAGAACTTCTGACTAATGTCAGCCTAACCAATGACCTATCTTGTTAATCTTAATTTCTCTTAATCAATGTTTCATTTATAAGACGTTTAATGAGCCGTTCTTTTTAGGTACTCTGTAAAATGCAAGCTTTTCCGAAAATAACTTGTTTTTATCAAGTAGGAACATTTTTATTGCAAGCCTGAATTGTTTCTGATAACTGGAATAAATTTTTATTCCATTATTAAAAAAAAATAAAATTAAATAACAAACCAAACAAAATAAAATTATAAATTTCGTTTAAAATAAGGTGTAGGGTTGTATATTTCCTAATAGAGCTTATTTATTACTATATTTTGTTTAATAGTTTTATTAGTTATAATATTAATTTAATTTTATACACAAAATGATTTGGGTTGTGAAAACCGCATGCATACATTTTGCATCGTTTTTTTATAAATTCTTGTAAATTTTGATAAAATTAATATTTATAACATAGTTTTTTTTTATTTATATTAATTTCATATTATTTTAAGAAGAAAAAAGAATATCTATTTAGCAAAAAAAGCAACTGTTGCTGACCTTGCTTCGGCGAAATATGCAATCTACTGCATGTGTCGCAAATCTGTCATCTTTAAACCAACTGTAATAATGCCAAAAAAAAAGAAATAAAGCTCACATTCCTTCCAGTTAACGATGCGCTTTGAATCGACACCACACTTATCGTTTTGTCTCCCTCAGCCTATCCAAAATAGAAAGAGAGCCCGTATGAACTTGGGTGCTTGAAGCTGAGCTTTTGAGAACACGTTCCAGCGAAGTTGACCACATGTTCGCATCGCGTTCTAATTGGCTGAAACTTAATGGTGGGGGTGGTGTTCCATTTGTCCGCTCCAATTTGAATTTGAGCCATCCGATGATTCCAGTTTGTGTCCTTCAACTCGAAGGACCCTCCGACTCTTCCGCAGTTTACTTTTAGCGCGAAATTTAAAATGACGGAAGATAATTTAAATTTCGACGTGGAAAATATAGAGTTTCATATAATAACGCTGTTCGAAAAATTGGAAGTTATCAAGAAGGAAAAATTAGCTGAGTTGGGGGCTTCGAAAAAAATTGCGGTGCGTGTCGAGCTAAGGACTTTGGAGTTTTGGAAATCGGTCATATCGGAATGTTTAGCTTCTTTTATTTATGTTTTTATCGTTTCTGGCGCTAATGCAGCGTCCAGGATGGGCAGTACCTCACCATCCAATATTTTTATGGTGACATCAATGTCGTCAGGGTTAACAATGATGTTTTTGACGCAATTTTTTGGAAATATTTCAGGTAAACACTTTAAAAAAAATAACTTCATCAAATTAAACTTTTAAACACAATTTTTTTCAAATTTCAGATTCAGTACCTCGTTCATATAACATATACTATATATAAGTTCAATATAAGTCGTTAATAAACAGTTTTTATTTACGTTTATAATTTATTAAAATGCATTGGCTCAAACGGTATTTAGAATACTTTCTTATGAAAATTTCTTCTTAATATTTTTTTGTACCAAAGTAATATATTCCAGTTGATTGTGTTGAGCTTTTTAATATTGTTATTCTGTTTTTGTATGTTTGTACATAATTATGTAACAATATTGCGAGTTAAGACGCCTAGCTCGTCGTTATTTGTGATTATACAAATTACTCATCTTCATTTATCCCTTAATTACCTTAATTTTCATCAGTGTGTTGCTATTCAGCTCATTAATTATCTCTCATTTGTTTGTTGGCTTTTGTTGTCGTTATTCCGAAAACCTTAATTAGTAACATATTCTTCTTGTAACCATTTTATTTAGAATTATTATAATAGATATTTCTATTACACCCTGCTATTATTATTATTAAAAAAAATCCTGTGTAGCAAAATAAATGCTGAGGTATTAAAAAAAATAACTTGGCTAATCTTAATTACTTTCTGGCTTCCTGTATGCTATAAAAAAACATTAGGCATTCTTTTCAATAAATTCTTTATTGACATTATTACTGAATAAGTTCGGTATTTTAAATTATAATTATGATATTAAAAATTTGTTTCTATTGTTTCAGGTGCCCATATAAATCCAGCAGTTACCATTGCAATGGGCGTAATCAAAAGAATATCTGTGCTCAGATCTTGTTTGTTTATTCTAGCTGAATGTGGTGGTGGAATTGCAGGAGCTGCATTTTTGTACGGGTAAGTTATTTAAAACCTTCTTAATATTCAATATGAAAATTTAAATGTAACAAAGGGACATGTTGAATATTTGAATGATATTTAAATCCAGTGCAAGCGTACTATTCTCCATTGTTACTGTAAATTTATTCGTCCTTAACTGATATAGGCTTGATTAGAACATAAACAAGATATTATTGATTTCGTTTGCATTGTTGTGTTATTTGAATTTTTTTTATTTCTTACGAATTATATATATAGTTGCATTTAATCTTCGACACATATTTGTGTTTTGTATCGTGTAATTTGAAAATGGAACCCGAAACCTTAAAACCATCTGTCAAGAAATGTCGGGTATCACCTGCCCATTTCAGCTGTTGTTAAAACATTCTTTTCTTCCTTTGGGTACCTCGCATACTGAACCCGCACAGTGGCGTGCACAATCTTAGTTAGATCTTTTCGTAAGGGCATTTTTATTTAAGATTTTGCCAGACAAGTTTTCATCACGTTTTGTTTTTTATTTTTAAGTAGAGAATTGACATTTTTTTGATTACTTGAAATATAGATATATATTATTATATTCCAAAATACTTATTTTCATCTTATATTTGAAATACTTTTTTTAATTTCATCTTGTATTGTGTATTTAGTTGTAAAAAAAATACTTAGTTTGCTAAAATACTTTTATTAATTATTATCTGTGCATATTCTTTTCTTTACAACATTCAATCATAATATGGACCAAATATAATACCCGTATTAGATGTGATTCTTAAAAAATTCCCTATAAGTTATTTAACGTTTAATTTAATTATTTTAATTTTAATTTTTTTTTTTTTTTATTAACAAAACCTAAAGTAGAATAAAATAGACATTCTGAAAATTTGCATCATTTTTATTCTTCTGTATCTATCTAGTTATTAATGAATGGATTAAAGAAAAGCACTTACTTAATCTTGTAACTTGTATTTCAGATACTTTTATGAGGTATCTTGTACGTCTCTGAGTAACCCTGTATACTCAGAAATAAGTGCAAGTATTTTAGGGAATGGTAGATCTCGATAAAAGAAACATATTTTCTCTTTATCGTTTTTCAAATAAGTCCAAAATAACAGAGTTATTTTACTTTGAAAATTTCCAAAAAAAAATATTTTTTGCTAAAATTTTGAGAACCACTGGATTTTTTCTGGATTTTCTTTCTCGTAAATTTAATCTAATACCTATTTTGCCATATTATCAAGAAATTATGTTTTTTAACTAAAAACTAAAAAAAATCCAACAAATTTTTAAAAGAATTTCGAATTTTCAAAAAAAAATTTTTGCGAAAAAAAACCTCATAGGCGTGCTTCTGGGATTGAACTATACTACCAGTTAAAATATTTGCACTTATTTCTGGGAGTATATTAATCTAGAGATTATACAATAAAGAAAATATAAACAAAATTTAATATTAAGCCTTCCTGGGGGTAATGTACTTGATAAAATTTCGTTTAAAAATGTACCGTTAATGTAAATTATCTAATGGAGGCTAAGAAAATATTATCACAATAAATTTACTTAATTTACTTCGTACCAAGGAAGTATGGAACGATTATTTTGCCGATAGATGTTGCGGTTAAATATTCTTTTATCGGGCCAACGTTTCCTAACTGTTTATTTTTTCAAATATTACCCGATAAAAATACAAATATTTCGATATAACGTAAGCACGAGAAGAGATCCACCCGGTCGTGAACTTAATTGAACAAAAGAAGGCCGTAGAAAATGCCCTTCTTCTACCTGAGGATAATAATTTACCTTTGGGTTTTTAATAGGGCCCAGGATGCTTGGAACATCTGTCGCTTGCTAAGGTCGCATCCTTCAGACCGGCGGGGGAGATGGCATTCCTTGATCCAACGGCAAAATTCGTTTTTGTATTATATTTGTCTAGGATACTTTTTCAATATTGTAGATGTTGCAATAGACGCAATAGATGTATAATATGCTTGCTTTTTGCTTAAATCCACTAAACTTATAATCGAACTTAATACCTTGACTACAAATGCTGACATTTTCAAAAAAGTTCATCCATTTTTACTATTTTTTTAAGAGTTCTGAAAATAATTTTGTTAATTTTCACACATGAGGCGTATAGGTATATTCTGAATCTATATAAAATTTCCTGCAAATGCTGTAATTTTCATAATTTTGTGACTATGTTTACTAAGTTTTTAAGGAATTTGAAAATGTGTAAGAAATAGCTAAAAAAATGGGAATTTTTTCGACTTTTTGTGTGCGTATAGTTGAGAAAATAGGCGATTTTCTTCATATCACCGATTTTTATAAAAATCCTGTAAGTAACTAAAAAGGTGTAGATTCCGAATATACAGGGTGTCCCAGAAATAAATGCAAGTATTTTAAGGAGTGGTAGATCTCGATAAAAGAAACATATTTTCTCTTTTTCGTTTTTCAAATAAGTCCAAAATAACGGAGTTATTTTACTTTTTTTAGCAAAAAAAAGATTTTTTGCTAAAATTTTGAGAACCACTGGATCTTTTTTGGATTTTCTTTCTTTTAAATTTAATCTAATACCTATGTTGCCATATTATCGAGCAGAATATAACATAAAAGGAAAACCATAATAAATAATCATACGTTAAGTGAAATGATTGTATTTTAGTATTAATATTTAGGATTTAACTTTTAATTTCTGAAAAAAGAAAGTTTTGTGAATAAAGATATGGGGTTTATAGAGGGACCTGAGTTGGCTAATAAATAAAAAAGGCGTCAAATGGGACCTCACACCCTAAGGTCACATGTCAGCCTCGACCATAATCACGCCGTTGTATGGTTTGTATTGTTTATTGTCGCACTTTTGCGCCCTGCTATCCAATTGTTTTCCAACGAAAGGGGGTGGTCCCACTTTTTGGGTCCCACTTGCTGCCTAAACCGTGTTGCCACATAGTCACTTTTTCAGCATAGTTTTAGTAATTTTTTTTGTTAAATATTTTTAAATCACGTAGGATTGTAATTATCGTTTAAATTTGATTTTAAGAACAACTGGAATCTGGGATAAATTTTTTAATCTCTCAAACATTGAAAACTTGTTTTTATAGTAATTATTAGTAGAAAAGAAAAAAAAAATCCTTTTAAGCAAATGTCTTATTTTATCACCTTAGAATCACGTAGAATTTGGGATAATGTTCAAATATTAGAAATATCCACTAACCTAACAAAAAAATACAAATATATTTTTTGTGCTTTACTAACATTCGTTTTTACAAAGCATCCAATTTTTGGACTTTAATCAACCAGCTATTCTATACAGGGTGAGTCTTAGATAAGGGTAAATATTTTCAGGACTGGTAGACCTCGATAAAAGAAACATATTTTTTCTTTACCGTTTTTTAAATAAATCCAAAATAACTGAGTTATTTTACTTTGAAAATTTCCAAAAGAATTTTTTTTTGCTTAAATTTTGAGCAACGCATCTTTTCTCGGTTTTCTTTCTTGTAAATTTAATCTACTACCTTTGTTGTCATATTATCAAGAAATTATGTTTTTGGACTAAAAACTAAAAAAAAATTCCAAATTTTTAAAAAAAAATCATAATCGTGTTTCTGGGGTCGAAATATACTTATTTAAGACTCGCCCTGTTAAATTCGGTATTCTTTTTCAAATTGGCAACGCTGTTAAGTGGCTCCGTATGTCGGTATATATTCAGCCACTTGTTCTTTCACCAATAAAAAACTTCTCTAACAGTTGTGCCAGTTATAAAATAAATATTTATTACTCATATAAACACCCTATCATAGGCGGTGGTTCATTTGGGTATATGTACCGAGCGTTCGAAAATTATGCATTGCACGAAATATACAGTTTATAAAAAGAGTAATTACATTTCTTTTTCTAATTTATAATAAAATTAGAAACATACTACAATAATTTATGAACTAATTTTATTCATTATCATATATTTTTTAGTTCTTTTGGTTCGTTCGAAAAAGAAAAATCTATTTTATGCAGACGTCTAAATAAAAAAATTATGACAGCTATATCAGGGGTGATCTTTTCGTTTTCCTGTCGCGCGTAGACTGCGTTTCAAGACAAAAAAAATCTGAGAAGCAGCGCACGTGTGCAAGATGTACCACCTGGCTTTTCTACCACTTGCCACCAACACATGCATCAGTTTTTCGTTACCTACAGAGTCCCTATAGTCCCTTCTTTTTAGTACATATAGTACATAGAAGCGTAGGTGCCTAAGAAAAATTATTTGTCTTGTCAATTAGTTGCTTCACCAGACCACCAGTATAGTTTTCGAAATCACTTGCTTTTGAATGATGTACTTGTAAGACCATAAATTAGCATTATTCCATAATTTTGGAACATAATAAACATATTTAATACGATATTGTATTTTTTTATTTACAATAAAATTACAAAATTTTAATAATACCTATTGTAAAACGTGCTTAACTGTTAAAAACTAATCTATACGTAGCCTTAGGTATGTTTATTTGCCTTTTGTTCTGTGGTGTGTGGATCAGGACGACAGATCTGTAAAGATGGCTTCCGATTTATTTATTTTTTGTAAAATTTCCAGCAATTTTCATTATTTTCTCGGAAAAACTTGTAGTGAAGTGGTTTTTCTGAATGTGTTTTGTAGAGAATTTTTTTCTGAATCCCCTAAGCATGTAAGTACGTCTGTACATGTTTATTTAGAGATTTTATCTTTAGTAAAAGATCTGGCCTATGCCGTAACGTATAGTTTTTGAAATTCAAGGCTCTTGGAAAAATAGTAAACATAGCTGTAAAAATCTGGAAGTTCCGAGATTTATAGGAAATTTTATGTAGATTTAGATTATATAAACATTTAAGGGTTTGAATACATTGGTTTTATTAAAAAATCTTTTTATAACGCTTATTTCTTTACATAAAAAATCAATGTTCTTCATAGTCATAAGGAATAGGTTCATGTCTACATAAAAAATATAAAAGTTAAGTTTTTTTTTGGATTGTGTGGTACTTTTGCTCAAAATGTTGAAGTACTGAAATATTTCAGCTTGTATTAAGTCTCGAAAATGGGATATAGTCGTAAGGAATAGGTTCATTAAGCAATTTAAACTGTATCTCCCTCCATTGATTTTCTCACGATACTGTAAGGTTACTGCATTTAGGGCGGATCGATTTAAAAGTAATCCCTTGACAATCAGACTCTCGGACATATGCGACACGTGCCCTATTCCCACTCTAGGGTGAGAAATTTAGATAAAGTTTTTACCCAGGGTTAATAATAATTCAAGGCATATAATGTTGAACGAATTATTAAGTCACCTCAAAATTAATCAAGTAGTAAAATACAGTTTTTTTATTAAAATATAGTTTATTTCTTAGTCTTTTTTTAGTCTAATTGTGTTATGGAAAATATTATAAATGTTTCAAGCAAAACTTTATAATGCAAAAAAAAATCAATGCACTTTTTCACTATTTTAAACGAAATTATAACATTATTGTTATGTATGTACCTACTCTAATAGGTGTTTCTAAATAAATATTAAACATGAATTTCATATATTGGATTTTTTTGTTCTTTTCTATTACTCTGAAAAGTCGAAAGTATTGAACAGAATTGCTTAGAACAATAATGATTAAGGTGTGAAAAAAATATTTTGGTTTCAAAAGGTTTTCTTTTAATTATAGAAATTAAATTAATTCATATATTATATTTTAATAGTTATTTTCTTAATAACATGAAATTGTTTAATAAGTATTTTAAATAACTCCAAAAGTATTTTCCTTCCTTATTACTGATTCAAGGTGAGAATTTCGGTATATCATCGAACCACCAAGGTTTAATATCTTGACTGTGAGCTATGCTGTCTTTAGGGCCACTTGGTATTACACTCTCGCCTGTTTCACTATGAGCAATAAATATACATTCGTTGTTATAACAAGATCCACCTTCAGGACAGTCTCTTTTCGTGTAGCATTTTACATTTTGGCATGAAAATGTTAAATCTAAAGGACTAGTTAACAATCCTTTAGGGCAAGAGCAAGTAAACTTATGATTTTCTGCCGTACAAATGCTACTTTTGTCGCAAAATGTTAAACAAGGATTCAAACACTTTCCAGTTCTGCAAGCCATATCCAGGGGACAATCCTTGTCATCCTCACAAGGCGCGTCACGAATAGAGGTTGTTGGTCTTTTACCCACGTTAGCACACACTGCTGCTGTTTTGGACGTACTTGTGGCAGACCCTATTTTATAATTCAATGTTCTCATTAACTCCCAGAGTTTATTCAGTTCGTCACATTTCCAGGGATTGGGATAAATGTGCAGTTTCTTAGCATTAATATTTTCGATGTACCTGGGTACTACTGTAAATCCATTCGAGCCAAGTTTGAACGTTTCCACAGAAAATATTTCTACATAATCCAAGTCTTCAAGAAGGTTGCTTGTAAGATCAATTTCTTTCAAAGGATATGAAAACGAGATGGCCAAGTTTCCTATTTTGTTGTTGCTGAAATTGACGCGAGATAAGTTAAGAAATCTGTTAGAATTTATAGCAATTCTCGATAACAAATTGTGGGCCAGGTTTAAACTCTCTATCGTCATCGACAAGTAATTCAGTGGAACAGTCGTTAAAGAGTTCCTGCTCAGGTTCAAGTGTTTTAAATTATATAATTCTTTAAACGCATCCTTATCTATAAAAATAATTTCGTTCCAGCTCAAGTCCAAAATTTCTGCAGATACGTTTTTAAAAGTCTGATCTCTAACCTCGGTGATGTGGTTGAAAGCCAAATTGATACTTGTTAAGTTTGGCAAGTTAAAGAATGACGCTTGGGCCAGCACTTTTATATCACTTTTTACTCCATATATATGTTTTAAACTGGGCGAATTATAAAATGCACAGGTCGGTAACAGTTCAGTTTCTAGAATTTTCACTAGAGTTGGATTTCCCTTGCTTTGGAAATATCCCATTTCGGAAAAATGGCACATATTAAGGTAACTCTCGGAACATCCCTCTACAGGAAAAGCATAAAATTTAAATTGATTGGTTGGAACACAGTTTGGAGTGAAACATTCTGTACCAGATAGAAATACGAGAACTAACGCCGTTTTAATCAACATCTTCATTGTTTTAATACTTATGCAGTACTGTTATGAACAATAGGAGGTGCATATTGTTGTTTGTTTAATTATGCAACACAAATTGACTTGCAAACTAATTTTTCTATAAATACACAGCAGTCTATTTCCATTTTTTTTCAAACTTATTACCATCAACTTTTCGCTGAACAAGAAAATATATACACTGAACTTTAAAAAAAAAATCCATTACGTACGTTAGGGCAATATCAAATTTCAGCAGATGTATGCCATAAGGAATTAATAAGACACCCAACGATGGCTCCATAAACATGTGTTGTCCTTTAAACGTAGATTTTTATTTGAAACACTTGTTGGTTGTCGAGTTATTTAAGAAGTAGTGGGCTGATTTTAACCGGCAGATAAAACACATTTGAAAAAAGAAATTAAATGTCTATATTCTGAGTGAAATTGGAGGGAATTCTTGCTAATCAAGTTTTAAGCGGGACATGAAAAATAAAGGTTATTAAAACGTATATACGCACAACCGCAAGCACTTTACAACCCCCCTGCTTTAAAGGGCAAAACGGGCCCTTTAAATCATTAAAGCGCACTTGTTCGCATATGATATGCCCATTGAAAGCGAGTTTTTCGTTTGGTTATTTGTACTCTCGTACATTACCCTCGCTTAACTCCTATTGGGGTGTAATTGTGGCGTTCTGTCTTGTCATTGACCGATCATAAAAAACTAATTCTAGATTAGTTGCCGATTTTTCAGTTCATCGAAAACCGATAAGCGTTTTTTCACCCTCTCAATTCAGAGTTTTCCTTAGTTTTAATCAGAACATGCTCTTGTACATCTATTTTTATTTTTGAGTTATTTGAAAATGCAATTTTTAAATATTTATTTAAAATTTTTTTGCAGGGTTACCGTTCCAGGATACCATAGTTACCAGGACAATCTCTCATCGGCAATTGGACATCCAACAAATATCTTTACGTCCTTGGAACGGTTTGGCATTGAGTTTACACTCACTTTTCTAGTCGTATTCAGCTACTTTATTGCAATGGACACGTATCGCAAATACACAGGCAGTGGAGCTCTTACAATTGGCGCTGCTTATTGCGCCTGCTCCTTTGTTTTTGTGAGTATATCTGTTTTTTACATTATATGTAGTATTAAGTAGTAAAGTATATACTTAGATAGATGCACGAAATTTCAAATAGCTGCCTTAAAACGGGTTTCTATAGTTTTATTTGTTTATTTTTTTGTTGTGAGTGATCAATCAAAGAAAAAAATATGGTTTGTTTCAGATGCCATATTTGAACCCTGCACGAGCTCTAGGCCCATCGTTTGTGCTTAACAAATGGGAAGCACACTGGGTTGACTGGCTAGGACCAATTTGTGGTGGAATCGCGTCCGGGCTATGTTTCGAGTACATCTTTAATCCAAATCGCGTGAAAAAAGTAAAACAGCCACGCGAAGATGAGACTTCAAGCATTCCTTCTGATGATGAGTTAAATTATGATGACTTGGACAAACCCCATATACCTAAATTCCATGGTTCAACATACAACACATATAGATCTGCTACTGGCATTGAAGCGAGAACTAATTATTGTGCTAGTTTGTTTTCCGCACCCCCAGCTAGACTAGAAAGGGTTGAGTCCATATATGGGGGTACAAAGTCCTTATGCAGAAGCCCACCCTTAACCAGGGCTAATTTGAATAGGTCTCAGTCGGTTTACACTAAATCTAACACAGCAGTTAACAAGGAACTTCTGCCCAAGCCTGGTCCCTTGGTGCCTGCGCAATCTCTTTATCCCATGCGCTTGAACCAGCAAAACCATTTGCAAAATCAAAATGTGCATAACCAAATGCAACAAAGATCGGATAAGTACATTGCCCGTGGCATTACTCCTGGTACTAGTACTTCGAGAACCGACAACTACGGAACTTCGGAGAGGCAGAACAGGGATTACTCAACAAATGAGAGGCCGCGGAGGGATAACTATGCTCCCACGGAAAGCGCGTATGGTACAAGAAATAATCCTGCTTCTAGTTCGGACAGCAGTGAGAATAATCCTCCTCAAAGGACTAGAAGGCCGGAATCAGTTTACGCTATGTTAGGTTCGCAAGCTAGAAGTGTACAGCAAAAGCAAAACGGGAGTCAGTATCCGGAGGGGAGAAGTGTTGTTGGTGGAAATACACAAGTACCTAGGTCGTCCCAGAACAGCCAAATTTTAACTAGCAACTCGAACGCTTCATATCATCATCAGCATTCGCCAAATCCACAGTATTAATTTGTTATGATTTTCGGGAAGGGAAACAAAAATACCTTATTTATCACATTTTTTGATAAATATAATATTTTCATTTAACATTATTTTTCTTCTTTTCCTCTTGGACTACTAGTTAATATTCTGTTTATTTTAAATTAATAGCAGGGGTCCCAGTTCCCATACATCACGAAAATCTGAACTTGTAAAAAAATGCTTTAAAAATAATTGAATTTACAATAAAATAGGAAAGTGAATCTCTTGGTTGTGGTTTTTAGAAGCCCTGTTTATTAAAAAACAAAAATTTTAATGACAAAATCATTAGAAAAAAATAAAATAATCAGTAGGATCCCTGTAATATGAATATCCGTTTTTTAATATATATTTCCTGTTTTCAAGTTTTTCCAGTTTCATGTTGTTTTTTGTGTACAGATCGCCATTTTTAATCATTGTACAGTACATATTATTTTATTTATGTTTTTCTATCTTGTATATAAAATATATATATTTTAAGTAAAGTGTGTACCTATTTATTAAATCCTTGAAACTATAATCGTTAAGTATTAAGTTCAGGTAGATAAAACTGACTATTACGTATCACTATTCATACATGTTACAAATTATTTTTATTAATGGCAAATTTATTAGTAGCATGTAAATTTTTAAATTTATTAATCTCTCTATATTCACTGCGTAATAAGAACTTAATTTGCTTAGTGAATAAATTCAGTATTTGTATACTCTTGCTATTAACTTATTACATTTTTTATTAAATGTATAAATCTATATTATTAGCTTAAAATTATTTTGGCCTACTTTTTAATATTTCAACCCACTGTATAAATTTGAATTAATGTTTCGGTAACAAAGACGGCTGTGACTTTCTTCTGATTGGTCGACTCGGACATATGTCATGGCGACTTCCGGAAATTGGCGTCGCGCATGTCTATTTTGAATACCAATGGATTCATATCTCTTTGTCGCCGGTATTTCAAATTATGTGATTTTTTAAATAAAAAGTGAATTTGGTGTACACTACTCCTTCGTAAATTCTTGTTTGTTCATAGCTCACCCTCTCCTAAAAGTGAGTACTTGATATTTTCATTGTATTTCATTATACCTCGATTAAAATTTTTTGCAATCTTGAACAGTCATGGCGTCTTCGTTTTTCTTCTAAAATTAATATTTTTAATTCTTGGTTTTCGATTTGTTTACGGATATTATTTACTACAGAGCATAAATATAAATATCACACATTATGTTTAAATTTTTTAACACTTTGTGCTGTTTAAGATTGCATAATTTTTTCAATTCTATTTTGGAATGCATAGCTAAAGTGGTGATTTTTTATAAATGTCCCGGAATAAGAAAAAAGCGGATTACGATTAATAGTTGATAATTTGTGAATTTCTATTAATGCGGCATAGTAATGCAGTCAGTATTCTAACAAAGAATGTGAGTACATTTTATGATACCAATTTTTATTTTTTTATTGTCTTGAAACGTTTTTGGGTATTCTAATTAATTTAAAGGGGTATATTAATTCCTTTTTACTTGTAATTTCTAAAATTTGCTATTTGTTTTTCTTAATACTTACATTAAATATCGTTTTTAGATATATTCCTTTATAATAGTTGTTTTTTTCTGGTACTTTGATAACAATTTATAAAATGATAGGTACCTTAACGAATTGAAAGATGAAACTTTTTTATTTGAGATTTTTTGGAATAAAAAATATGACTGTGTCCACTTAAGATATCTACTGTGATTTTTATTTATTTATTTATTAATCAAACATTCTACACTCATTTAACCACTCAGGGGCTCACATCTCGTGAGTACAGGTGTGGCAGGCCCGAGGTACCCTAGCTGGATAATCACTTTGCTTCAACTTGTCTTGGGTGATATCCATTCTTTTATTTTCCCTTCTTATTAACTTCCCTTTGATAATTCATTTTCTACTTTCTACTACTTCTACTACTCATTTCGACTTTTTTCTCTTTTTATTTTCACAATGGCTCTATAGTGTGCTTATTTTTCTTTCTAGGGGCAATTTAATACCACACATCAGCACACTGTCGCCCAGCAGCCGAACCGGCAGAAGTAATATTGATTAACTCGATAACAGTTAATGAAATTTGAAGTAAATTTTGCCAATGGTGTCCCGGCGAATTGGATCAAAGAGTGACGCTCCAGGGCGCGACGCTACCGTCTTCCCTAGAGGAAACCTGGATCGTCTCCTGAAGTTGATGTGTAGGTACCCAAGGGAGTCAACAGCCTCTGGTTTACGAGCTAGGTATTCTAATGCTAGAGGCTCCAGCTGGGTACGACCTGACACACAAGCTATGAAACTTTTTTATGCACCTATTGCGTGGCATCTCGGAGGCGTAGGGGACCAGATTCCTATATACCGTACCTATATATACTAGCATACCTCAGCTCAACCTAAAACCAACCCAAGTAAGTGTATTTTATTTTTCTCGGTTAAGATTTCCGAAACTGATTATTTTTTTTGTATTTTTCTAGGGTAATTTGAGTTTGTGGCCCGTTTAAATCAAAGAAGATTCCAGATGAAATATTGCAAGACGCAACTTGGTCCTAAAGCTTCTTCGGATTCTCCCAGGCACCTTCGAATATCTGGTGCCGTATTAAGTACTAACTCTAGAAGATCGTCCGATGTCCAGGCAGTTGGCGCCATGCCCAAGTGACGGTCTTTTTGTCGTTTAATTATAATGGGACTGAAAAAATACCGGCGAAAGGATATGGATATGGTGGTAAGTTCATGATACATTTTATACTTATATTGGGGTTATTCGAAAATTCTAATCATTTCTCTGTCTACAGATAAAGCAGCTGAGCCTTTAAAGAAATGAAAATCACGGTTCTCGTCCCGGCGTGGTTCCAAAGCGGTATTTAGGTACTTTCACAGCATTGTAAGACCATATTTTCGAAATATAGGAATAGAAGAGGACTTGGAAAATGGGGAGAATAGAAGAAGGAATAGAAAATTGAGACTGTAGAGGAGTTGAATGAAAATGTGTTTAAACCAGCGAAGGGAGATTTATAAGGTTGCTTTTAAACAATTTACTTACTTTTTACAGATACTTATTTGATTTTTTTTTCAGTTGAATTGCTGGTGAATATTGACAAGTCTTACGGGGAGGTTTTGCATTTTTGAGAGGACATGCAGACATTTTACGAGGGGCCAATGCAGGGCTCATTATGAGAAAGCGCTTTTCTTCAACTGAATATTCCTTCTATAAATGTAAGTTTAATAGATATCTACTTGCTTAATACTGATTACATTGGCTATTATTATTTTGGTTAAGAAAATTTTATTTGGTAAAGCTTAATAGATTGTTTTTTTTTCTTTCAGGGAATATATTGTGTTCTAAATACTCTTGGTTGGCCTCTCTGCTTTGGATAACTGGAATTTGCTGGTAAAATATTAGTAAGTTTAAATTTAATCTACTAAAAATTTCTATTGATTAGATTGAGATAATTTGAATATTAGTTTATTATGTATCATCCCATCTACTGTTAACAATTTATCTTCTAAATGTTTAGATAAACAGTTCTTTTATGTATTATAGAAATACTTGTTACTTATAGTTTTTTTACTTGTAGGTATTTATTTTGCTGCTTCTGGCTGTTGCTTCCCTCCTGCTCCTCCTCAGCTTCAAGAGGATTCAGCAAAAATTCCTCCTGCTCCTCCACCATATACCAAAAGTTTGCTTCTGTTTTATTTGTATAGGCGTTTATTTTTATTCTGGTACTGTTGTAAAACTTTGATAATCTGGACAAACGTTAAATTTTAAAAATGTCATTGTACTGCAGTAAAAGTTATATAGTAGCTGATAATTTCTCCATCATTTCTAAAATCATACTTTGAATTTCATTTAAAATGTTAATAATGTAAACAAATGATCACTTTAATTACTGTTGTTAATAATTATTTGCCAATCATATTTTTCACTTACATATTTTGACACAAATAACAATTCCAATATACTGACTACGCTGTCAGTTATTTTTTTATCTGTATTATTTTATGTACTAACTTTTGTAGTGTAATACTTATGGCACATCATTTTTTAAATTTCTTATTGGTTCTAATTAACAGCCACTAGAATATCCAGATTATCACAGTTCTTTATATTTTACTTGCGCAAAAGCGTCACTATATTCTGGCAATATGAATACATTATAAGGCATCTTTATCGTTTTGGGTAATACCCTAATTTTAGAATTTTTTATATATTTTATTGTTCCGTTTTTTTTTTTAATTAAATTAAAGATAATAAAAAAAACATATTGATATAAAACTTTTTAGAATTTTTTATATTTCATTGTTTTTTTTAAATCAAATTAAAGATAATTAATATAAACAAAAACATATTGATATAATTTTTTTAGCGTTAGTGTCAAAGCAATGAACTGTTATAACTATAAAATTTTATTGTATGTACTTGTATTCATAGAGCTCGGAATTCGTAGAGAAATAGTATTTTGAAGCAAATTATATAATTATGTACATGAAACCGACAAATGCATCGGTATAATATATTATATATTTATGTTAAATAGGAGCGATCTGAAATCTGTTTTTCTAGTGCTTTCTACCGTGATCGAAAAAAAATGGCGTCCAGTTGGCTTGGAAATGACGATCGATGACATTCCCCATATAATTTTACATGTAAAATGACAGCGATCTTCATTTCATAGCCATCGCTGACGCCGTTTTTATTCGATCATACGGTATTTCCGCGAGGTAAAATAAATATTTTAATATACTAACAATTTAATTTAAAAACCATAATGATATTATAACTCCGTTTTAGCCTTGTTTATTTAATAACATTTCTCAATATTTACGTTTTTCGCATTTGTTTTTCATTTTTTTTTACTTCATGCAATTTAATTTACTCACGATAAAAAGATTAAGTTCTGAGTATACGTCACATTTTAATATATTTTTTAAATATGAATCCAATAAGCAAATATGGAAATATAGGTTCAGAGATCGCTACTATTCAATATATTTTTATTATTTATGTTTTACTTACTGTGTAGGTAAAACAGTCTATTGTTTCTGTGTCATGGTTATATTAGGATATATTTGATATTAATAAAATGTCAGTATTTTGGTTTCTTTCAAAGATCTCATACATTGCAATTATGCAGGGCGTGTTCTAATTGAAATCATTGGTGTAGTGATAGTTCTCCAAAGCTCACCCCGTAAATTGATTAATTTATTTGGTACTTACACTTACATTTAAATAAAAATTCCACCACTTTTTGTTATGGAATTTTATATACTTATCTTTTTTATTTTTTTACAAATTTGCTTCAAACGAATTTATTTGTTTTGGTTTGATCTGAAATATAAAGTAATTATATTTTAATTCCCTTTAATATAAAATATTAAATAATAACAAATATATACATAGCTTAATATGACTTAACTAAAAAAAGAATAAATATTTATTATTTTAATTAATTTACAATTCCTTTATAATGCACCTTCATACTGTTGATGTATCTCTTAATTTATTAAAATATATTATTATTTTTAGTTAACTTGAAATAATAAAACTAAAGCAGTTAATAGGTGTATTTATCAAGCATTTTTTTACTATAGATTGGTTTTTACTCTTAAACATTTTCAGATCAAAGTTAAAACTAATAATAAATTAACTAAGGCTATGTTATCTAGAAAGCAAAGTCCAACTTTTTATTTCTAATTCTAGTTGTTTTGTTTTTAATATGACTTAACTAACATACGTCATTATTAGTATTAGACTTTGATTGTTCGATTTTGTGGGTGCAACATACCTATGTGCATATACCTATGATGAACCACCTATATTTTTATGCAAATATGTATGAGGTCTTTTATTTATGGGATATTAAAGGATCGTGCGCTGCGGTGTAGAAAAGGTAAGATTAGATAAGTGGCTGTTGTATAATATTTTTTCTTAACTTTTGCTCCACGTCTATGGTTCATTCGTTCATTATACCTATTATACCTTAAACATTATTAAAATACTCCGAATATACCAAGGGCGTAGCATAGAACTTTTTCAACTGAAGATAAAATACATAATACAGTAATACCTTATTATACGCCTAGTTATACTTTTTATTTTTTTTTTTGTAAATATTGAACACAATTTTTGCGTAAGTCATCAGGCTTAAAACTGAAATAAATCGCTTCAACTCTCACTGATTACTTACAACTTACAGTAACAACAACTAAGCTTGATCTGAACTGTGACATATTTTTTTATCATATGGTATATATTTCTTAAAATCTTCTCTATGTTAATAATGTAGCCACTATTTTTCCATGAGGTATGTTAATACGTATTTTAGATAATTTTAGAGTATTTTAGGCAACATTAATTGTTTAAATTACCTCTGAAGGTATACTAAATACTGCGGTGATTTGGTTGTAATCAACGGAAAATGACTTTACAGTAAGCGTATACTTTACAATTCGTGATATTTTGCTATCACGATATCTGTGACGATATTATGTCTATTTTTAAAGTCTAAAGTTTTTAAAAATCACAGCGGTTAGTGAGTTATTTAAAATATAATTCAAATAATATAATATAAAGCGAACCTATCTCTTCTCGCACCAAATTGTCCGTATATGGGGCAGTCCCATAGACAGACTAGATTTTGATGCGAGACGGAACTTCTAGAGCGTACAATAATCTTTGATAGTAGTTACGAAAATTCTTCTGCAATCTCTTCTAAGAATAATTTTATTACTCTATTATAAAGCACGCTTAATCATAGAACTTTTTTACCGTGTACAAGTTTATTCGCGCGAAGTATTGTAGTTAAATTATTTGGTTTTTAAAAATTATAACTGTTGGAGTAGTTAAAGGAGTACTAGAGCTACATTTTAAAGTTATTTTCAGAAAGTACAGGTGAAAAGCACTTATCATCACACTATCTATTATCTATATATCTATATATATTAGAATAGCACACTATCGAGCGATAAAGCACTTAAATTTAATTTTTTACTGAATGTCTCTAAGCGTATTTAAGTTTTTAAAACCAGATTTTTTTTCATGTTTGGTGAACCGTGTACTTTATGAAATTAATTTTTAGCTCTAGTAAGTCCCTCAACGACCATTCATAACTTCTAAATATCTAACCATTTATCTACAATAATCCGTGTCGAATAACGTGAATAAATATGTATATCAAGTTTCGTGCATTTACAATTAAAAAATTCTTCTAGTTTGGTGTATAGTTTCTAATATATAATTATTACGTGTACTGTAATGTAATTTTTCTTCAATCACACAATAACTGCTACTTACCTTTTTACGCCATTATAAGCCGATTTCAGCCTACTTATATCTTTTCTTTCGCAGTTGGCCTTGCCTACAACAAATTTTCAAATTCTGTAATGAAAATTTGTAGTAGGAGACAATAATATACAAAAAGGAGTATAAGTTTTAATAGCTTGAAACTTACACTTCTTTAGGTGGCCACCCCGGTGCAAAACCTCTGGCTCTAGCGACCCAGAGAATAGGGCGGCATCGGAGAATTCCATTCACAAGCTAACTGCCATATACTTTGGATCGTTACTGCTAGGGTCGTACTGCTGCACAATCCTTTTAGTATTCCACAGAATTTTTCGCAGTTGGCCTTGTCCGTTACAATAATTGTAGCGGACAAGGAAAACTTCTTCTGACTGTACCGAGCCAGGGACCAAGGCGGTATTGTAAAGAACTTCCATATGCCGCCTTGCTCTTCTCACAGCCATGGCAGTTCTGCTTAGAACTGTTTCTTGTAACCATCAGAGCCTACTTGATTTCATAATACTATTAAATCAAATTTATTATGAAATTTGATTTAATAGTATTATGAAATCAAGTAGGTTTTCTACTGCGTTTGTATAATATATACATACACCACAGTAGGTACTATATAATATACAGTACCTATCAGTGTACGCATATATTAATGAAAATACACGCGGCCCACTATGTACTTTCTAAGTACATTGTATGTCGCTTGTATGTATTAACACACACGTGTGTATGTATTTTATGCACATACAGCCACGCACCATTAGGTAGGTAGTATAATAAATAGTACCTACTACTCTATGCATGTTATGTGTCATAAAACATACATAACACACATACAGTAAACACTAGTTAATTTATAATATATTATACTATGTAACCTCTGTTGAATTTTTTATTATTTAATAAATCTATTTTAAGAGAATCCTGGTTTTCATTTTTTAAAATTTAAAAAAGAAATTATGCGAAAGTGGCGCCCTGTGGTGGCTAAATATTGAAACTAAATTTTTAGTTCAGAGTATTACCGCTGGGGGCGCCACTATCGCTCAAAATTTTATGCGACTTTGGCGACCTCTGGTGGCAAAACGTCGAAACTAAAGTTTTAGCTCAGCGTTTTACCACAAGAGGGCGCATGCATCGAGCCCTCTGGTGGCAAAAGTCTGAACTAAAGTAGTAAATGCAGCGCCCTCTTGAGGCAAAACGTTGAAACTAAAATTTTAGTTCAGCGTTTTGCCACAAGAGGACGCTACAGTCGCTCAAAATTTTATGCGACTTTGGCGCCATCTGGTGGCAAAACGTTGAAACTAAAATTTTATTTCAGCGTTTTGCCGCAAGAGGGCGCATGCATCGAACCCTCTGGTGGCAAAAGACTGAACTAAAGTAGTGAATGCAGCGCCCTCTTGTAGCAAAACGTTGAAACTAAAATTTTAGTTCAGCGTTTTGCCACCAGAGGGCGCCACAGTTGCTCCTAATTTTATGCGACTTTGGCGCCCTCTGGTGGCAAAACGTCGAAACTAAAATTTTAGTTCAGCGTTTTGCCGCAAGAGGGCGCATGCATCGAGCCCTCTGGTGGCAAAAGGCTGAACTAAAGTAGTGGATGCAGCGCCCTCTTGCGGCAAAACGCTGAAACTAAAATTTTAGTTCAGCGTTTTGCCACCAGAGGGCGCCACAGTCGCTTAAAAATTTATGCGACTTTGGCGCCCTCTGGTGGCAAAACGTTAAAACTAAAATTTTAGTTCAGCGTTTTGCCGCAAGAGGGCGCATGCATCGAGCCCTCTGGTGGCAAAAGGCTGAACTAAAGTAGTGAATATAGCGCCCTCTTGTGGCATAACGCTGAACTAAAATTTTAGTTTCAACGTTTTGCCACCAGGGGGCGCCAAAGTCGCATAACATTTTTAAGCGACTGTGGCGCCCCTAGCGGCAAAACTTTGAACTAAAAATTTAGTTTCAACATTTTGCCACTAGAAGGCGCCCAAGTCGCATGAAATTTTAAGCGACCGTGGCTCCCCTAGCGGCAAAACTCTGAACTAATGTCGCTCAAAAAGTAATAAAAAAAATAAATAAAACAACCAAATATTTCGAAAAAATATTTATTTATCGTTATTAAGTTAACAAAAAGAGCGTCCGGCTCTAAACTCATAACTAAAGGTTTTTGGTGTCCGTCAGTGTAAATTTTAAACACTGGGACAACGAAGTGTTGTGTTAGTGTGTGATCACGTATACATACAGTAATGTGTGAGTGGAGACATAACACACACACTACTGTGTGGTATACACACCCATACTACCACACATACTACCATATGTATATGCGTTTAGTCCACTTACAGACAAGTGTACTAAACGCACACATGGAGGAGTGTGGGTGTGCCACACTCCAACACAAAACTTCCATGACCTAGACCGAGAAAAAAAAAGGCGGCATATGGAAGTTATCCAACGTCGCCTTGGTCTCTATATAGCTCGGTGCAGACAGAAGAAGTTTTCCTTGTCCGCTACAATTGTAACGGACAAAGCCAACTGTGGAAATACTAAAAAGATTGTGCAGCAGTAACGATCCAAAGTACATATATGGCAGCTAGCTTGTGCATGGAATTCTCTGCTTGTAGCTTGTGCTATTCTCTGTGTCGCTAGAGCCAGAGGTTTTGCACTTAACGGTGCGTAAGTTTTAAGTTATTAAAGTATTAAATTATTATATTCCTTTTTGTACGTTGTCTCCTACTACAAATTTTCAGAATTACAGAATTTGAAAATTTGTTGTAGGCAAGGCCAAGTGCAAAAGAAAAGATATTAGTGGATCAAAATCGGCTTATAATGGCGTAAAAAGGGTAAGTAGCTGTCGTAGAATTTATAGAACTTCAGGTACTATACTCCTACTAATCATGAATGACCCTATACACGGCCAAAAAATTATATGATTCAGCGTGCTCTATAAGAGAATAGTAAAATTATTCTCATAATAAATTGCGCCAGAGTTTTCGTAACAATTGCCAAAAAATATTATTATACGCTCTAGAAGTTTCGTCTCGCATCCAAATCGAGTTTGTCTATAGGGCTGCCCCATATGTGCATGAGCGCTTTTTAAAACGAAAGAGAAAATATGTATGAAAATAAAACTGTAAGTACAAAATATATTTTCAAAACAACGCTATGTAAAATACGTAGAATTGCTAATAATACAAGAAAATTAAAGATACAAGAATTTAAAAAAATAAGAATTAGGATAAAAATTGCTAGCTGAAAAACTTACGAAAATATTTTTAAAAATAATAATTTATGTCCTTTTTTTGTTGAAAACAAGTCGTTAATAACAGTATTGCATTGTTACCACAAAAGATATTATTGCTATATTGTTTAAGTTTATCTGATATTAGCTTTTAAGTTTCTGCTAGTATTAAAAGATCTGTATAATTTCAAAAATTCAATAGTGTTCAATATTTACAAAAAAAAAAATAAAAAGTGTAACTAAGCGTATAATCAGGCATTACTGTATTATGTATTTTTGTTTCATTTTCAGTTGAAAAAGTTCTATATATTCTACGCCCTTGGTATATTCGGAGTATTTTAATCATTTAAGGTGTAATGAATGAGTGAACCATAGACGTGGAGCAAAGTTGAGAAAAAATATTATACGACAGCCACTAATCTAATATTACCTTTTCCACATCGCCGATTTATACCGCAGCACAATCTTTTAATATCCTACAAATAAAAGACCTCATACATTTTCGCATAAAAATATAGATGGTTCATTATAGGTATGTGACAAGCTTATATTTAGCACTAGAATAATAATTATTTATTCTATTTTTAGGTAAGTCACATTAAGCTATATGTATATATTTGTTATTATTTAATATTTTATATTCATTATATTAAACGGAATTACAATAAAATTATTTTATATTTTAGATCAAATAAATTCGTTTGAAGTAAATTTGCAAAAAGTTAACAAAGATAAGTATATAAAATTTAGCAACAAAAAGTGGTAGAATTTTTATTTAAAATATAAGTGTAAGTACCAAATAAATTAATCAGTTTGCAGGGTGAGCTTTGGAGCACTATCACCACACCAATAATTTCAACTAGAACATTCCCTGCATAATTGCAATGTATGAGATCTTTCAAAGAAACCAAAATACTGACATTTTATTAATATCAAATATATCCTAATATACATAAACATGACACAAAAACAATAGACTGTTTTACCTAAACAGTAAGTAAAACATAAATAAAAATATATTGAATAGTAGCGATCTCTGAACGTATATTTCCCTATTTGCTTATTGGATCCATATTTAAAAAATATATTAAAATATGCTGATGGACTCAATTGCATAAGATTGTATACTCAGAATCGGGTTATAATTTCATTATGCTTTTTAAATTAAATTGTTAGAAAATTAACATATTTATTTTACCTCGCGTAAATAGAGAGCACTAGTAAAACAGATTTCAGACCGCTCCTATTTCACATAAAACATATAATATATTAAATCCATGCATATTTGTCGGTTTCATGTACATAATTATATAATTTCCTTCAAAATACTATTTCTCTATGAATTCCGAGCTCTATAAATACAAGTACAACAAAATTTTATAGCTATAACAGTTCATTGCTTTGACACTAACGCTAAATTTTACTCGATATGTTTTTGTTCATATTATTATCTTTAATTTAATGTAACAATAAAATATTAAAAATTCTAAAATTAGCAACTAAAATTTTTAGAATATTACAAAAGGTGGCAAAGTATAAAGCAAACAACATTTTCAACCAAACATAAAAAACAGACTCAAATATCTTAAAATTTATGATAAAAATTTAAAAATCTAAATTATTACCAATCATCAACAAGTACCACCTTATTCTTTATACCGTTTGGCTTTAAAAAATGAGATTAATAAAGTAGGCTAATAATTAATAATTAAAAAGAACTTACATAAGGGGTTTATCAAGAAATATTTATGTATCTTTAAAAGCAATGCACTGTATACTGAAAAGACATTAAAAATGCGTACTGAGACAAACTTAAAGGTATTCATATTGCTCATAATATAGTTTTACAAAAAATTCTATTTATGTATTACTGCATTATCACCTGTAAACTGTATAACTGTACTGATGTAAAAAAATTAATTTCTAAAAAATTAATACAAATAGACATGAAATTTGAAAATTTAAAGTTGCAATAATACAATATAACGAATAAAGTATATTAGCATGAATATTACTTAACTGAAATATTACTTAACTCAAATTGAATTTACTCATTTTTAATAAAATAAAATGAATAAAGTTAATCGACATACAGAATTATACAATTGATGTATGTTTGGTTGCATAACCATTAGAGAAACCAAAAGAGAAACAAATCCATCGACGTTATAACTAATGGACTTTATATTTTATTAACATAATAATTAACTAATCTTAAATCATTAAATATACCTTTCTAAAAAATAAGTAATAATAAATTTTAAATAGTATTTATTATTATTTAAAATTTATTACTAGAAATATATACTTAAAAATTTAATTTACCTTAATTAATTAATTACATGTTATGAAAGTTTACAACGAACCTGCTTATGATTAACAATTAAAAACCTCTAGAGGCTTACTTTAATTTTTAAAAGTAGCTCTATGAATGCAAATCCCACAAATATAATTTACTAAACAGAACATTACTTTGAAACTGACTAAACAAATCTGAGTAAATGTATTAGATAAGAATTTAGTTAGTTAATTTAGTTGCTGTAATAAAAATGAGAATAATGTTTTTAATGAAAAAACACTCTTCATTACAAAATAAAATTAGCCTTTTTTGAAATGTAATTATTAATTTTTTTCCCAAGGAAAGGGTTATTAATTAAGTCGCAAGGAAGACAAAGAAATTCACTAAAAAATCTGCTTGTATGCAATATGTCTAACCAATTTATGAAACAATTTTAAAACCTAATAACGATAATAAATTGTTATGCGACAATACAGTTTATTTGTATATTATATATGTTACTTTCTACGTATGAAAAATTTACATAAATTAATATTAGAAAAATGATACACTCAGATTTACCATATAAACAGTTGAAAGCAACGAACTGTATGTAAACTGCAAGAACATTAAAAACAAAGTTTTAATGCCTTTAAAAAAATAATGTTTTCATATTACCACAATATGGTGACGCTTTTGCGCAAGTAAAATAAAAAGAACTGTGATAATCTGGAAATTCTACGGGCTGTTAATTAGAACCAATAAGAAATTTAAAAAAATTAAGTCGTGTCCCCATATAATACACTACAAAAGTTAGTAAATAAAATACAGATATATAAATAATTATGACAGTGTAGTCAAAGTATATTAGAATTGTTACTTGTGTCAAAATATGTAAGTGATATATAACTAAAAATATGATTGGCAAATAATTATTAACAACAGTAATTAAACTGATTGTTTACATTACCAATATTTTAAATGAAATTCAAAACATGATTTTAGAAATGATGGAGAAATTATCAGCTACTATATAACTTTTACTGCAGTACAATGACATTTTTAAAATTTAAAGTTTGTCCAGATTATCAAAGTTTTACAACAGTACCAGAATAAAAATAGACGCCTATACAAACAATACAGAAGCAACCTTTTGGTATATGGTGGAGGAGCAGGAGGAATTTTTGCTGAATCCTTTTGAAGATGAGGAGAAGCAGGAGGGAAGCAACAGCCAAAAGCAGCAAAATAAATACCTACAAGTAAAAAAACTATAAGTAACAAGTATTTCTATAATACATAAAAGAACTGTTTATCTAAACATTTAGAAGATAAATTGTTAACAGTAGATGGGATTATACATAATAAACTAATATTCAAATTATCTCAATCTAATCAACAGAAATTTTTAGTAGATTAAATTTAGACTTACTTATTTCTTACCAGCAAATTCCAGTTTCTGGATTACTTCATAGGTTGGACAATCTAGTATATTTTACTAAGACGTAAGACAGCATAATCTAAAGCAGAGGGCCATCCAAGAGTGTTTAGAACACAATATATTCCCTGAAAGAAAAAAAAAACACACAATCTATTAAGGTTTTCATTATGAATATATTATGCTTTACTAAATAAAATTTTCTTAACCAAAGTAATAATAGCTACTGTAATCAGTATTAAGCAAATAGATATCTATTACTTACATTTATAGAAAGAATATTCAGCTGAAGATAAGTGCTTTCTCCTAATGAGCCCTGCATTGGCCCCTCGTGAAATGCTAAACCTTCTGGCCCCTCGTAAAATGCCAAAACTTGTCAATATTCACCAGCAATTCAACTGAAAAACAAAAAAAATAAGTATCTGTAAAAAGTAAGTAAATTGTTTAAAAATCAACCTTATAAATCTCCCTCCACTGTTTTAAATACATTTTCATTCAACTCCCCTCCACAATCTCAAATTTCTATTCCTTCTTCTATTCTTCCCATTTTCCAAGTCCTGTTCTATTCCTACCATTTTCCTGCTCCATCGTTTTATTTACCAGTATATATATTTTTTCAAAATTATAAGCGTCTTTACAATAACTAAAAGAAGACAACAACTAGAAACGCCCTATATCTACTTACCTAAAAGAGAAAAACTATTATAGATTATAAAATGAAAATATTATATAAACTTACTTGATGAGGATGGCCCTAGTCCAGCTGCTATCCCCAACAATCTTTGTTCCAAAGCGGTACCAATCAAAGAGTTATGTTCAAAAATTAATATTGTTTCTTGTGGCAAAAAAAACCGTTAAATTTAGTTGTTATTCATAGGACAGTAGCAACATTAATTAAATTTATAAATTTAACAAAATAAAATTTAGTTAAAAAAATAAAATAGTTAAAAAATTTAGTTAATTTAGTAGGGTTAAATATATTTAATAGTAATTAATACCATATAAATTAGCAAAAAAATCTATGATTAGGGTACATCACATGGAACACGGTAGAGACCAATATTTTTTAGTCATAAAATATCTATATTACTATAAATTGCCCAAAAAATTACTTTAACTACTTTTTATAACATTCAAGATAATTTATTGAAAAAGTTAAAATAGAAAATGATAATAAACATTTAGGAAAATAAAAAAGTATGTAAAATAAATTTTAGATCAATGAAATAATTTTGTAAAGCATTTTAACTCAGTTACTATATAATTTCGTCAGATACATATAGTTAGTTTTAATTATTAAGTTTTCATATTATCTTTAGTATTAAAATAATGATAATGCAAAGGCTTGTAAATTGATTTTTTTTGTAAATTGATTCTGAATCATTCAATAAAATATGAAGAATTATGAGTATTAAAAAACAGAATAAAAATATATGGTCTTACAATGCTGTGAAAGTACCTAAATACCGCTTTGGAACCACGGCGGGACGCGAATCGTAATTTTCATTTCTTTAAGGGCTGCTTTATCTGGAGACAGAGAAATGTATTAGAATTTTCGTATAACCCCAACATAAGTATAAAATGTATTATGAACTTACCACCATGTCCATATCCTTTCACCGGTATATCTTCAGTCCCATTATAATTAAACGACAAAAAGGCCGTCACTTGGGCATGGCGCCAACTCCCTGGACATCGGACGATCCTCTAGAGTTAGTACTTAAACTCGCAACCAATCACTTGCGTCTTGCAATATTTCATTTCGAATCTTTTTTGATTTAAACGCGCCACAAACTCCAATTAGCCTAGAAAAGTACAAAAAAAAATAGTTCACAGAAATCTTAACAGAGAAAAATAAAATACACTTACTTTGGTTAGTTTTAGGTTGAGCTGGGGTATGTTATTATATAGCCTCTCTCTATCCAGAATCTCTAAAAAAATATTCTTCAAGTCGCGTCCGGGATGTGGTTGCCCTCTTCTGCAGATTTGATCCTTTTCGATGATTATGCCTCACCATTCACTCTGGATCCCAATTAAACAGTCTCGTCTGAGATCATCCCCTTTTCTATCGAGCGACCTTCATCGGGACCTCCTACAGGCCTCACCTCATCTTCAAATGTGTCTGTATCTTGTCCCCTACGCCCTCGAGGTGCCACGCAATACGTGCACGAAAAAGTTTCGTAGCTTTTGGTCAGGTCGTATCCGGCTGAAGCCTCTACCGTGCCTCTACCATTAGAACACCTGCTAGCTCGTAAACAAGAGGCATGCTAAATAGGTCATCGTATGGCAGAACATCAACTTCAGGAGACGATCCAGGTTTCTCCCACGGAAGAAGGCAGCGTCGCGCTCTGGAGCGTCACTTTTTAATCCAATTAGTCGGGACAGCATCGGCAAAATTTACTTAAGTAAATTTCATTAACTGTTATCGAGTTAATCAATAATATCTCTGCCGGTTCGGCCGCTGGGCGACAGTGTGCTGATGTGTAGTATTAATTTGCTCCTAGAAAGAAAAATAAGCACACTATAGGGCCATGTGAAAATAAAAAGAAAAAAAAAACGGAAAAAAAGGGAAATCAAAAGGGAAATCGATACAGAAGGAAAAATAAAAGAATGGATCTCACCCAAGACAAGTTGAAGTAAAGTGAGTATCCAGCTTGGGTACCTCGGGCCTGCCACACCCGTACTCACAAGATGTGAGCCCCTGAGGGGTTAAATGAGAGTAGATTGTTTGATTAATAAATAGAATAAAATTCACAAAAGATGTCTTTTAAGTATAACAGTCATATATTCCAGAAAAATCTCAAATAAAAAAGTTATTTCATCTTTCAATTGATTGTTAAGGTACCTATCATATTATAAATTGTTATCAAAGTACAAGAAAAAAACTCGTACTCATATTTTCAAGAGGATACACAAATAAGAATTTTCGAACAAAAAAATTACACCAAAAAAGATTCTCAAAAAACATCTACCCATTAATTTTAGAATAACAGAACAATTTCGAAAAATGGTTCTTTGTTAGGAGTTAGGATACTGCATTAATATAAATGATCAACTAATAATCGTAATCCGCTGTTTTCTTTTTATTATTCCGGAACATTATCCATTCCATAATAGAATAGAAAAAAACTTATGGAATCTTAAAACTTCAGAAAATTTAAACAACGCGTGCGATATTTAATGCTCGGTAGTAAATATTATCTTTAATGGCTTTTAAACAAATCGAAAACCAAGAATTAAAAATATTACTTTTATAAGAAAAGCGAAGACGCCATGACGGTCAAAAGATTGCAAAAAATTTTAATCGAGGTATAATGAAATATAACGAAAATACCAAGTACTCACTTTTTGGAGAGGCTGAGCGATGCACAAACAAGAATTTACGAAGGAATAGTGTACACGAAACTCACTTTTTATTGAAATGTAACATAATTTGAAATACCGGCAACAAGAAGGAATCCCTCGGCATTTAAAATCGACATGCCGACGCCAAATTCAGGAAGTAATTATGACACGTGCCAGTCAACCAATTAAAGGAAGTCATAGCCGTCTTTATTGAAAGAAATTTTACTTAAAATTTATATAGTGGGTCAAAATATTAAAAAGTGGGCCAAACTAATACAATAATAAATGGTATTGGATTTGATATTTACGAAATAAAACAGGTATAAGGTAATAAGCCTGAAAAGCCATATTATTATTATTATTATTAAAAAAACTAAATTTGATTGTTATTTTAATTGGTTACCCTTTTAAAATATTAGAGCAAGAGAGTCACTGTAGAATATTATACCTACCTTTGAAGGATTAAAATATATGATTAAAATATATAACGGAATAAGCTGTTCAAATATTATTCTTATAAATTATGAGGCAACCAGAAATACGTTCAGAAAAACTAAACTTAAAAGGCCCAGCAACCAACAATACAGTATTTACAACTTACGATAAATGTCATGCGATTTTTTCCAAACAAAAATACCTGTTAAAAACCACGTAAGCTCTTGTAAGCTTTAAAATAATTAATAATCATGGAATTCGATGGTATATTTAAGAAGGATACTAATCACGAACCAATCGATTGGGACAAAGTAAAGAAAGATAGGGAAGAGTACTTTGAAAACCTAAGGAAATGGTTAGAAAGTACCAGAGTATGGAACAACATGCACTCTGGTTTTCCACAGTTTGCTGGAAATTTAAACACGGACAGGTCTTCCACAAGTATTGGCCAAAACTCCTTTACACCATTTACTCAAAATCAACAACCGGAAGGACTTCGATTTAATAATCTACAACAGGGTCAAAATGATAATACTACTTTAAACGGAGTACCTTTCTACCAAACTTACCCATGTAAGCATCCTGATTACTGGTATTGTATTGTTGCTTGTTTAATACTTAAAGCAATGTATTTGCAGTTATCTTCCCTCCAAACTTATTTCGACCACCAACAACTTACGAATTTATTATACCACCCCTGTGGAAAAGGTTTTGTGCAGAAGTAATAGATTTCTCTATATTATTTATATTTAAGCTAATTTTAACTTTTCTATTCCTGGACTTTATAAACTTGGGGTAAGTTGAAAGCTAAGAAGTCATGTTAAAATGAGTAATACCATTAAACTACTATTTTTTAGGAATACACTTGATCTTTATGGGTTAGAAGCGATACAGAAGAGTTTAGAAGGTGCAGAAATTGCATATCCATTGGCATTCGAACTACTTTTGTTGGAATTAATTCACAGAGTTGTGGTTTGCTTTTTTGAGGTAACTAATTCATATAATCAAGTTATAAAAATAAACAAACGACAATTTTAGGCATACTTTCTCAGAGGTAAAATGTGTTCCACGCCCGGCAAAAGATGCATGGGTTTGATGGTTGTAAATGTTGAAACTATTAGTGCTGTACCAAACCCTCAGCCTGACATTGTCACAGCTACAGGAGTGAAGTCCCTGGGATGGCAAAAAGCGATGCTTCGTTCAATGTTAAAGAATCTAATTGTGGGACTGCTGTTACCTTTATGTATAACTTTTTATGTATTCCCATTTAATCGTACTAGTTATGACATGATGTCAAACAGTGTGGTTGTTGAAGTCCACCCAGAGTTCTTAATGTACCAAAATCTCATAGTAACTTAAATGTATTTGATAAGATCTAAAATCAGTGGATATCTTTTTGCTATGGACTGGCCAACCTTAAAGTGTGATTCTATAAGTTAATTTTGGGACCATTATTTGAATTGGTTTATTATACTTTGATCTGATAGTAGATCAAATTAATATATATTATTAATCTATGAGATATGTTTTTAACTTGTTTAAAAAAGAAATAGAAATGATGGCATTTTTAAAACCTTATTAACTTAGTATGTTTTACTATATTAGCCTTAATGAATTGTTTCTTATTTCTACAAGGCTTGTTTTTTATACACCCATCTGTGATACAAAATACAAATTTTGAAAGAATGTTACTTTAAATGAAATTTAGTAGGTAAACTATTTTGTTTTTATGCATACTAGTCGACATAAGAATTATTTTTCAATAGTTTGAAATGATATATATGTTTTAGTAGGGTCTCTGAAAAAGCCTAGGATATTTATATTATAGAAATATGTGTCGATTTACTGTACATTGTAGAGGATTAAAATAAAACACTATATGGACAACTAGAGTGTTCTTTGTCTATGTATACATCTACAAGTATCAGAATGTCAAGTGCTATTACTGTGTTTTGTACGCAGTTCACCCTGCTACTAAGATCCAAAAATAGTACTTTTTTCAAGTAAAAACTATATCCAAGATCTATGTTATCAAGATAACATAAATTCCTTCCTCATTGCCAAAATAGTAAAGTTATTTATAATAAAAATATAACGTAAAAATCTTTGTATTAAAAAATTTCAGAGAGCTTTGGACTTAGTAGCATTTTTTTTCTTCTATTTTTACACCTTTAGTTTGAAAATGTCTATAACCTAACTTATAACGTAAAACACAAATGTCTCAATTACATTAATATTCCTAAAGGTGAAAAAAATCCTTAAAAATACAAACATATAAATTCAGTTATAATAATGCAAAACAGTATTTTGCAAGGATCACAGAAATGTACTTGTTTATTTACATGAATAGAAAAGAAATTGAAAAACTTCCCTGAATCAATACCCTAAACATTTTTAAATATACATATAATACAATTATACATCAAAATTAAAAACTAATAATATTCTAGCTATACGTGCAAAATTTATCAAAAAGCTATAAACGCCCAATAAATTTTACAATTAGGTATCTATGAAAATATTATGTCGAATTACCGTTTTTTAACATTGAAAAAAATTACACATCACAAGTTAATGAAAATGGTTTAAAATTAAGTGGGGAGCGAGACTGGTCTTGGTCTTCTGCACAAAAAGCAAGACCAAGACCGACCAGTGTAAAACTTTAGCAAGACCAAGACTCCTGCGGTCTTGCATTTTTTTTTGCACGTTTATATGTTAAATGAAATTACTTATTTGTCCAAAATTTTTGTTTTATTTATTACAAACTGTTTTCTTGACTGTAATATATTGAACAATAAAAATTTTCGCCAGACAAATATTCTAATAATGTCTTCCTTTAAAGTTTTATTTGCATTAAATTACTATAAAGACTATAAATTTAAAAAAAAAATTCTATGCAAGAAGTGCCTCTAGCAAAATATATTAAAAAAATGCAACTTGCAAGAGCCTTGCAGCAAGAACAAGACCAAGACTACTTATTAACTGCAAGACCAAAACCAAGGGACTTTTGGTCTTGGAGTTTCATCTTGTACTTAAAGTAAAAATATATTGTAAAATCTAGAGAAAACAATATGGTTATACAATATAATTTTACCTCCGTATATATATTAAATTCATGGCGGATTTCCTATAAGGAGGCAATGAATGGTTTTATGCAGAGAGAGAGATGCAATTAAAAAAAATGCTGAACGAAAAGCAAAAGTGGAAATGGGAAATGACGGAAACCAAAATATAGGCTTTCCCAGATACGCTGTAGGAAGACAAATCTATCTCTGTCTCGGTTTAAAGTTCTGGCCTGAACACGCTATATAAACTTATTTTATATATGCGGACAAATCGCGAAAACCAATAATTTCCCATGGAATATAACAAATATTAATGTCCATTTTAAAAACAAACATTTTTTCAAAGGAATGTGTTATATGCCTTATTATTGTTTTCTCTAGATTTATAGAAATTTATACTGCTGAGAAAAAAGAGGCAAATATTTTTCAACAGTATTTTTGTTAATTACAACATGTTTATTATTATTAATATATAATAAAATTAAATTTGTCTGAAGAATATTTCAAATTATCACAGATCTAATTCTTACACTTTCTTTTTATCGTCTGCGAAATGTGTTAAACAGCTAAACTCCACTATTCATAATTTTACAGTAGAGCAAATAATGGTACAAAAAATATGTACATCTGTAGCAATTATATGCATGCGTCAATATGATAACCAAATCACAATATTTGTTGAGGAAATATTACAACTCAATATTTCGTTAAAAATTTAACATAAAAATTATGTATATTAAACGTATTATTTAATTAATGTAAAACATGGAGTTAGCAGGATTAAATACGTTTCACTGACGATATGTGGTAGTAAGTGCATATATGAATTTTTAAAATAAATATTGTATATATGTATAAAGTATTTAATTTTATACAGACAATGTACTAATTCCAGATTTTTTCCTTATGAGTAAATGGCACAAGGAAAGTGTTTTCACCAAAAAGTAGTGATTTAAAGTTGCAGCAAAACAAAATAGATTTAAATAATAGATGAGCCAATTAGATAAAAATATTTAATATAACGCGACATAAGGAAAAAATATGTCTCAATACCACCGCCAAAAGAAAAATGATAGCCTTATCGTTTAATGAATCATCTTGTGGATTTTTAGTATTTTACCTAATCGTTGCTTGACAGTCTTCATGCCCTTCCTCGGCTTGGGCGTGAGCGACTGGATTTGGGCGCTAGCACCTGCAGGCAGGGCATTCGAAGAATTACTCGAGCTGGTGCGAGGCGACAGAAGCAGCTTGGTGCCAGCACCGCCGCCCCTCAGATCTATCTTTGGTTTGGGCTTTTTCCGTTTGTACTGGCGTTTAGGTGACGCCAATAAACACTACAACAAAAGTAAAGAAGGTTACACCACAGATTAGGTATCCTATAAGTATACAGATAAAAATCTTGTCCCTAATTCGTGGTACGAAAATTGTTTTATATGACGACGTGCAAACGAGTTAAATTTCCTGTGCGCAAAAATAAACTCGCGTAAAATAACAATAAACAACGTAATAGAGAGATATCGCTAAACCAAATAGCGTGCATGGACGTTAATAAGGCCAGGTGTTATTTCCTTTACGTGAGGTGGTATTAGAGAACAACGGCATACGGTCGAGTCGGCCGCTCCTGGCACGTATACGTAGACGTAAAGAATCTTTTACGTGTATAAAAAATAGAAAATATAAGAAATGCGCATGCGTACGTAAACGTTTAAATTGTTTTGTTTACTAGGTATTTTAAAACTAAAGGGCTAAAGTGCTTATTTCCAGTGCTTTATTGTTCAACGTCTGCCAGTGGGTTTAGGACAACAAGCAACAAATTCTCTTAGAAGGGCTAAGTCGTCATCTGCTGTAAACCTAAGACCCTTTATAGGTTCTTTAGTATTGGAAGAGGTGGAATCCATAGTTTAGGCCATATTTATTTAATTAAAACTAATCCCAGCTACTTAAATGTCAAATTACCTAATAAAACTAAAGCAATAATTCAAAACAATTCAAACATAACCTAAAATAAAAGATCTCGCCGCGCCGGCCGGCTCCGGTTGTCAAATACCCGCACATGCCCATTTAAGCAATTTTTAAACGTTATCAGAGGTTATTTAGAACGAGCGCTTGGTGTAATTGATCCGCAAATTACGTCAGGCGGCAAATTACGTCAGGCGGTAACGTTGCGTTAAAAATTGACTCGCGCATATCGTAACCATGATAAGGTACGCGTAAATACTGGATGACGCTATTCGGTTTTCCGATATCTCTCTAATAACTGTACCGGTCAGGCGCTGTGCACAATTTTAGAGGCCATAAGTGGGCGTGCTATGTGCGCAAACTAGTCACCTAACTAGTGCCCGATTCCGAAAATTGAAACCACGAAAAACAATAAAGAAAAAACAAAGATTACAATCTGTATAATCTGTGGTTACACTATACGCTTGGCGCATTTCAGTTGTTTTTAAAAATTCCGACAGCAGCGCTCGATACGGCAGAAATCACAAGTTTTCGACTGTGTATTTCACGCGGTTCCGATTTGAATTTACTACCTTGTAGAGACGAGCAACAAATCGCAAACTGCGATTCAATCGCAGCGATTTTAAAATCGCAATCTGCGATTGGCTTTCATAGGAAACTGCGACAGCGATTTCTTCTATTTGCGAGATTCAATTTAGGCACCCAATAATTCTATAGTTGCGAGTTGCGATTTTATTGGAAGTTGCGATTTTGCTCCGATTGTGATTTTGTAAACTAGGATCGTGATAACCTTCTATCTGCGAGTTTTAATTTTTAGGAGTTGCGATTTGCGACTTTGTTGCGAATGTAATTTTGTGGTCCATTGAAGCATTTTATAGCAAACTGCGATTGATTTTTTTCTTTGATTTTATTTATTTATAGAGATATTTATAGGTATTATTTTCTAGGATAAAGATATAATATACCGGGTATTTCTCAAGAATGGTTCGCCCCTATAATTTTTTTATTTTTCTGATAAAAAAACGAGATTTGGTATATTAGCATATGACATAAATTAGGATTGATTGACGTATTCAATTCGTTTCGATCACTTCCTGTTTCACCGGAAATGACTACAACTTTTGATTTTTAAATGACACCCTCGGTATTTTTTGCTTTATTCGATAGAAAATGACACTCTGAATAGAATGGCATATCATTTAATTTTTTACATTTACGCTTAAAAAATCGTATTATAAATTTCAATCTAGAGCGCCATGGCTGTGTTAAAAACACTAATTTTTAATCAAGGATCCTTGGAAAAAAGATTTAATTGTCTATTCTTTTTCGTGTGTTGTCCTGGCCGATTAAAAGATGCCAAAATCGTATTTTTAATTATATTTCAAGGTTTTCAAGTGGAACGAGGATGGCTCATTAGCATATTTAGAAAAAGCTGATTTTTATTAACTTTTCTAAGCTATAGGTACACACATATAATTATATACCTAGTACAATATTTAAATATTAAAATCGCAATCGCAGGTTACAGTCGCAGCGATTTAAAAATCGCAATCGCAGTTTTGCTCATTTCTACTACCTTATCTCCACTATCCGCGGTCCTTCGAGCCGCGGCGGCTTCGAGAACTTTTTCCACGGCTTGTTTCTTCGTTCCCTCCCGCGCTGGACGGTTCATTTTAGGCAGGAGGGGCCCCACACGGGCCTTGGGATTCCAGGCCTCGTCGATTTTTGTACGGCCTCGAGGCTTGAATATGTGCACATCTTCATCGTCGGAATTGTCCAAAGATGGGTATACTGCAAGAGAAAAAAGTTTGAAAACGATTTGTTATTATTTCTAGTCAAAAAATTACTGTAATCCTCATCCTGGTGGACGTTATTCACGTCTTCCTCCGGACTGTGCTGGTAGCGGCGATTTTTTATAGGCGTCCAGTTTTGACTGATAGAAAGCATACCGGCAATGGCTTCCGAGGTGGATGGTGAGGTTCCCCCCTGGGATCTAAATAATCTCCTTTAATCATACAATAAAATTTTAAATAATATGCAGCACTTACGGCACGGATAGCGAGGCTTGGAGTAAAGATTCAATTCCGTTCGTGCTAAGATTTTCGTTGGTTTTATGTTTCTTTGTTTTGGCTGTGAAAAAATAAATGCGATTGTAAAAAGGCGTTCAAAATAAATATTTCACCTGTTATTTTTGGAAGTGGTATAAGTCCAATTTTTAAAAAAATAGTTAAATTCATTTTACTTAACTTTTTACAAAAAAAATCCATTTGAGTAAAACTAATGTCTATAAAAATATGGACTTAAAATTACTGCTGTTTTTATTTGTTCTATATGTTATTTTTCAAAGTGGTATAAGTCCATTTGGAATTAAAAAATCGTTTATTTTTTGTAAGAATTGTTATAGTTATTATTTCCTAATAAAATTTAAAAGGTGTATAGTGTTAATAACATCACTCTCTTTCTCTCTCGAATAGATCAAGGTTTACAAATATTTTTAAATTAATTAAAATCCAAAACCTTAAATATCTTAATACATGGAAAAATGGACTTATACCACTTTCAAAAATAACAGCTCTTTTCGTTCTCTTAGAGTACCTGGTAGCTTAATTTTGAGGCTGCCCTTCTTTCTTTTCGGACTTTCGTCAATGGTAAAATTAAAGCAGTCTTCATCTCTATCACTGTCATCATGAAAATCATATACGTCTTTATTTTCGAAACTGTCACCATACTCTATGGTTTGTACGTTACCATCGCTATGCACTACCGCAGGGGGCATTATATCTTTAACACTAAAAGTTTACATAGAAGTGTCATGAAATTCCTTTGTTTAAAGAACATATAATCACAGTTTAAAGAATATAAATATATCAGTTGGCCTACTCTTCGCCCGTATCAAAATTCCTCCCGCCGCTCCCCGCCTGTCTTGTAAACTTGGGTCAGTCTACATCCGTTGCTCGACGTGTACACAGCGTTCCAAGTTTATTTTAGTTTTGTTTTCGGTCCGTCGCATAGGGTGAACCAAAAATAGTGTTTTAGTTGTTTTGTTCGAATTCTGAATAAAATGTCTACTAGAAATATTTGTGCAGTGGATGGTTGTGAAAGTAGAATGACAGACAGTATATCGTTCTTTAGGTGCCCAAAAGATGAAGGAAGGTATGTGTTTATATAGTATAGGATATTAAGTATATAATAATTAAAGTATTAGACATATTAAATATATTATAATTATGGAAACCTAACTATGAATAAATGGTTTTAAAAATATACATATAAATTAAGAAAAAATTTTACTCGAAATATGCACAAAATAGTTATTTTTAACAATTAGTTTATTATTTTAGTAGATATTTTAGAGTAATAGTAGATACTTTACTATTATGTTTTGGATTTTGCAGTATTTACCGGTTTGCAAAGTGCATATTAAATTTTTATTTAAGATATTTGCATTTTTTTAAATAGCATGTTTTACTTTTTAGATGTTTGTATTTAACTTTAACTACCTACCTGGAAAGTCCAAATTTTATCGTCAGGTAATAAATTACGTGCATACAACTTCTTCTGCTATTGATAAGTTTTTTAGAGTTTTTACTAAATTTTATGTAGCAGTAAATATAACAATTAACGAGCACATGGGAAAAACGATGAGTATCCAGAAATGATAAATGTTCAGGAAACCGTTTTTTTTTAATTGAAATTACGTATGGACCTTTATATTCGAGTTTATATCGTTTTTCCCATTTTTACATGCCTGTTTCTATGTGGCCGTTATCGATATTCCCGTTTATTTAGGTACCAAAAGGTGTAGCTTTTTGGTACTTTCATTATTTTTCCCGTGTGCTCTTCAATTAGTAGTAAATACTGTAATAAGTTATATTTGCATATTTCTTAAGTTATAGCATGTTTTGCTTTTTTAGCTGTTTGCATTTAACTTGAATTATCTACCTTTTTATTAAAAGGTTATAAAAAGAGTACTTGGATACAACTTGTCTAGCCATAGTAAATTTTTTTTAGTTTTTACTAAATTTTATCGAACAGTAAAATTTATTACACAATTAACTACTAACAGTCATAATTACTGTTCATGATAATCATAAAATTTAGAAAAATTAAAAAAAATTGACAATGGCAGCACAAGTTGTATACAAAGGTACTTTTATTACCTTACGATAAAATTTAGGCTTTCGGGTAGGTAATTAAAGTAAATTGCAAACATCTATAAAGCAAAACATGCTATAATTAAGAAATATGCAAATTATATATATATATTATTAAAAAATTAACTTATTATATTTATTTAGTATACATTTTTCATATGGGGTTTCCATAATAATTATTAATAATAATTACCCTATTAACAATTCCATATTACAAAGAATTAGGATAGAATAATATATCTAATATTTTAATATTAATGTAGGTATATTTAATACTAAATACTAATAAATATTGATCAATTATTAAAGACGCCTAAAACTGTTTGTTAATCAATAAAACTAGTACTGTATTTTTATTTTTCTACTTGCTATATTAAAATTCCTCAGTATTTTTAGTTGATCCCTCGTATACGGCCAGCGTTCTATCTGATAAAATAGCACTTCCGCTGCACCCGGTAAACGTACAAATTTTTTGTCACCTCGAAGGGTCACGGGCCGCCTTTGAAGTCAAAATAACAATAGAATTCCTTCGAGTAGGCCAACTGATATATTTATATTCTTTAAACTGTGATATAATTGTGTAGTTAAAAATATAGCATTTGCTTTAGAAATGCAAACTTTTTATTTTAATAAAATATATTTACCCTAATTTAAATTTTAGAACGGTGCCTCCTTTGTATTCAGCTACGGTTTCTTGGGGGCGTTCAAAAATCTGGTTCCATATTTGGCTATTGCCCATGCTGGGTAGAGCTTGGTTATTGTATGCCACAGGACCTGCATTAGTCCTTTCGTAAGGAAACGTGGCAGGTTTTGGCAGAGTTAATTTCAAATTTGGATTGCTGGCAGATTTAGAGTATGTGGGAGGGGAAAATTCTGACTGAGGCACAGGCATGAACTACAATTAATTGCGTTTAAATTATAGAAAGAATCATGGCACACAACTTACATCAAAATTCATATTTCTAGGAGACAGTGAATAGTCGACAAAATCCTTGTTTATCGGTTTTTTTCTTTTTCTTTTGGATTCACGTTCAGGTTTTGGGGGGTTTAAATAATTAATTATTCTTTCAGCGTGCCTTATTTCCTTTCCAATATCTTTGAGCAGTTTTGGAATATTTAATCCCAGAGGTAGTTGTTCTCTTATACTTAAATTATACTAAAAAGCAAGGATATTAATTTTTTAATTGAACTCCTTACTAAACTTACATCTTTTTCACTGTTCCAATGCTTAATGGCTTGCTGGAGGGCTTTTAATCCCACCAGAATATTTTCAGGTGTCCTAGAGCTACCTGCTAAGTTTATCTTAATGATTTCTTCTAAAAGTTTCGTGGCAGCAAAGAAATTAATCATTATAAAATTGGGATATTGAAATTTCCTTTCTGTTTTTGTCTTTCTCTCAATTTCGTAACAATTTAATTGCATATTAATATTTAAACTGTGTAGAAAATTTCCTCCGAAAACTAACGAATCGGTAGGAGTGTAAACTGCATGAATCCAGCCAGTAGGAATAAACATTGTTTGACCTTGTTTTACATGACATTTGAAACACTGATCCACCTAAAAAAAGGATTTGTTAAAAAAAAACACACACACATATAAATTACAGTATTACTTGATCACCAAAAAAGGTTTCACTCTGATTTGTTGAAGTCATCCATTGAGAATACAAAGCTAAATTTGCTGGTGTAGGCTTGACAAGGAAAAAAATTTTTTCACCTTTCAAAACATGGTACCATACACTGGTTCCACCAAAATCTATATGAAAGTCTGTATAAGAGTCTTTAACACTCATCAAACAATACTTTTGTACTTGTGGCCTGCCTTCACAATTGTCTGGCCATATTGTATTAGCCCAGTCTAATTTTCTTGCAATTAGTGGTGGTTCTATTATGTGAGTCATCCTAAAATGTAATATATTATAGCATTATTACAGAATAATTCTATAATTATGCACTCACCCTGTATTTGAAAATTCTAGACTAACTACATTAAATATCCTAGTTCGATCATTATTATCAAAGTATTCCACAAATTCTGCTAACGTCATACGCACATTTGCTTGTCGACATACATCTATAACATCAATTTCTTTATCATCTCCAATTAACTTCAATACATCTATGTAAGAAAAATTTTCAGGTGGCATAATCATATCTAAACCTTCTTTATGTTCTACTAGAATAGGGTTACTAAATCCTTTACTTTTTAAAAATTCTTCTGTCAATTCATAACCAGGCATTTTAACTAAAATTTCATCAGCTAAAATAAAATGCCTGGTTCGTAGTTCTTGTATGAAAGCAGGCGTGCCAGTTTGAACAGGCTTGTGAGTGGCATTAGCGTCCCAATAATCGTGTCGATGAGAATTGTTTATAGGTTTATCTAAAACATATTTTGCTGTGGAAATATTGAACATCTTTTTATTATAACTTACATATAGATGGTCCTATAATAGGATTACACCTTGGACAGTGGTATTTATCTATCTCAATGGTTTTCCATTCCCGAAAGTTTGAACAGCTAAAAATAATAGGATTAAACGTTTAAGAAATGGAAATGTTGAAATTCCATTCTTTTGTATATATTTTTTTATATTATTATATATCGTTTTTGTTTACAAACCTACCTACTGTGGAACCAATCTTTACAGGAGTCACATTGTATCATAAATATATCTGGATTGTAGGGTTGGCCGCAAAGGCAATAGGATGGCTCGGATTCCTGGGGCACATTATAATTATTAACGTTAAACGAGGATTCGGTAATATCCATTCCAAAAATTGTATTTTGAGAATGTCGTGCCTCTAACATTTTTTGACGTTTAATCCTGTCAATTAGCATAACATTCTGTCAATCAACCACAGAAGCAGAACTTGCGAACCTGCAAAGAATACAAACAAATTTAATAAAAATATAAATAACATTGAAAATATTTAAGTCTAATTTAATCAGACAAACTACAAATTTATAAGTCGACATATACTACCCATGTTTGTTATTTACAAAAAAAAAGAAAAATTATATTTATGTTCGATGGCGCCATCTTCAATAATATATCTGAACAAAGGATAGGAACCGAACTTAACGATCTAATCTATGTGAACAGAGTTCTGTAAAATCGTACGTCTAATTTTTTAAAAATCTGAATTTTTGAATTGCTTTATCAAATGTAAGTACGAATTAAACAAGCGTCTTTGAACCTCCAAAAAAACTGTAGCCTCTTTTTGAAAGACGGGGTTCCGCTTTTTTGACAACAAGAATTACTGCATGCCAAGATTACACGCTAATTCTAAAAGTTTAAACAATAAAATGGCATAAATCAAGGGAATTAAAAGGGGGGATATAACCAAAGGTAGTATAGTAAAACGTGTATAAATAAAAGGAGGGTAGTTGATATAATAATTTGAGGGTAAAATAATAGGCGTGCCAAACTGAGCCATTCATTTCTAGGAGACAAGAACATACAAGGTAAAGGCGGAACTATTCTGTCTACGGGAATTTCAATTTTACCTCAGTCTTTGGAAAAATCCTTTTCTGATACCGCCCGCTCCAATACTCTGGGTTTAAGGAGAAGTATTCTTCACCAAACGACATTTTATTCGGGCGTTTGGTTAACTATAAATATTTTTTTCATTGTAGAAAAAACAACAGTTTTGTTGTAAAAACTAAACGATTCCGTCTTAATTCAGTTCAAGCAAAATGGACCGTTTTTTCGTCTACACACAAAGTTTTACTTGATACGTTTTGACTGAACAGGTAAGATTCGCAGGTAAAACGTTATGTGTAGACGGAGCTTTAGCAACATCATCATCATCATCATTTTCAGCTTATTCAACCATTTCTAATTATGGTGTAGCCTCCCTCACATAGCTAATTTCCTAATATCATGGTCCCATCTCAGGTTCGGTCTTCCTCTAGGTCTCTTAATTTCTGATTGGTACCATCACAGTACCATGCTGTAATTTTTGTGGTCCATCTGTTGTCCGTCCTTGCCAGGTGTCCTGCCCATTATGCCACTGGACGGATTTGATTCTGTGGATGACATCTATTACCTGGCTCTTTGTCGTATCCACTCTATTCTTTTACTGTCTCTCTTGGTTATTCCCTTATATTAAGAATTAAGAAGTTATTCCCAGCAGATTTCGTTCCATTGAGTGTTGAGTGCGACCTGCAGTTTCCTTATAATGTCCGTTTTAAGTGTCCAGGCATAACCAACATGACATACAGGCCAGAGACATCGATTTGTGACGTCACCGCACTAGTCCGGCTTTTGTATTGTGCCATATGGTACTGCATATAGTTTTTGCATAAATAATAGTATTTATTGAAAGTTTTGCCAGATATAAATATGAAAAATATTATACAGAAAGGTATTAAAAAATAACATTAACTTTTTATCGCGTTAAAGTAATTGAATAGCATTAAAATTTAGATCTAAAGCACGAATATTAATATAGAAATAAACTACAGCATAAGATGAATAAAATCTAGATAATAAAAAAGCGTGTCCTAAAATTGTGTTAGCGAAGTATTTAGCAACTAGTAATAATATACCTGTGATAAAAAGTTTCCAAATATTAAAAAAATTGAAAACTATACGTTTATCGACAAGTTAAGAGAAAATGTATTGTATATGATAACGGCAGAATACATATTAACGATTAATTAAAAAAAATAATTGTAAAAATTTGCCTAAGATATTTAAAAAATGTGAATATCAGATAGAATTAACTATTAACATTAAGTAATTTGTAGTTCGATGTTCATCAAGTAACCATCTCCATAAATCAAATAAAAAGATAAAGATATCATTTTTTATATAAAATACTGAAATAAAGTACAAATTCATTTAATTTCTTTAAAATATATTGCCATTTCATAATAATAATAATACTTTTCAATATTTATTTCATCCTGAATTTCCAAATCTTGTTTTCTTTCATCGGGACGTTTTCTCTTTATGGGAACATGCACAGAGGGTCCATAAGAGGGTAGATTTGGAAAAAAATTGTAGGCTACATCATGTTCTGTAGGTTTTGGACGTGACCTAGTTACAGTTAATATTGTTGGGAAAGAGAATGTAGACAGATCCTGAGGACTTATTATAATTGCTGCTACAAGGCACAGGCACAGAACAATGTCGCGGAATTTTTTATTTCACAAAAAGTAAAAATAAAGAAACGAAAACTGTTTTACATAAAATACACGTCACTTACGTTGGTTTAACACTATACACTAACACTAACGCTATTAATTAAGTTTTTATATAAATTCCCCTAACTTTTTTCCTAGTCGGACACACAGCCATCGCCGGTGTTACTATAATTTTTACCGAAAGTATGTTTTTTTCGCGGGTACGATATTATGAATCGGATCTAGATAGTTCACTATTCACTCAAAATTATTTAGTATAATTTTATTAGCATAGAAACGCCTAAAAAAAAGATTTGTTGAGAAACTAATGAAAACAATTGGTTTGTTTACGACTACTAATTCTGGACCACTTCGGTAGAACTGTCAAAACAGTCAGGCCTTGAATATGACGTTAGCCACGGTCCACGTTTCGCATGCATAGATCATGAATGGTGTACTAACCTATTGGTCGAATGTTTTCTTCTTGAGATAAAGTGGCATTCTAAATTTGAATATGATTGATCTGTATGTTTCTTCCGTAAGTACTCCATGCTAAATTAATTCAATTATTTTTAATTAAACGTTAATATGTATTCTGCCGTTATCATATACAATACATTTTCTTAACTTGTCGATAAACGTATAGTTTTCAATTTTTTTTAATATTTGGAAACTTTTTATCACAGGTATATTATTACTAGTTGCTAAATACTCGCTAACGCAATTTTAGGACACGCTTTTTATTATCTAGATTTTATTTTGTTCATCTTATGCTGTAGTTTATTTCATATTAATATTCGTGCTTTAGATCTAAATTTTAATGCTATTCAATTACTTTAACGCGATAAAAGTTAATGTTATTTTTTAATACCTTTGTGTATAATATTTTTTCATATTTATATCTGGCAAAACTTTCAATAAATACTATTATTTATGCAAAAACTATATGCAGTACCATATGGCACAATACAAAAGCCGGACTAGTGCGGTGACGTCACAAATCGATGTCTCTGGCCTGTATGTCATGTTGGTTATGCCTGGACACTTAAAACGGACATTATAAGGAAACTGCAGGTCGCACACAACGCTCAATGGAACGAAATATGCTGGGAATAACTTTATTCTTAATCTAAGGGAATAACCAAGAGAGACAGTAAAACAATAGAGTGGATACGACAAAGAGCCAGGTAATAGATGTCATCCACAGAATCAAATCCGTCCAGTGGCACAATGGGCAGGACACCTGGCAAGGACGGACAACAGATGGACCACAAAAATTACAGCATGGTACTGTGATGGTACTGTGATGGTACCAATCAGAAATTAAGAGACCTAGAGGAAAACCGAACCTGAGATGGGACCATGATATTAGGAAATTAGCGAGTAGTCAAGAGAATCTCAAAATATGTGAGGGAGGCTACACCATAATTGGAAATGGTTGAATAAGCTGAAAATGATGAGGATGATGATGTTGCTAAAGCTCCGTCTACACATAACGTTTTACCTGTGAATCTTACCTGTTCAGTCAAAACGTATCAAGTAAAACTTTGTGTGTAGACGAAAAAAACGGCCCATTTTGCTTGAACTGAATTAAGACGGAATCGTTTAGTTTTTACAACAAAACTGTTGTTTTTTCTGTTTTCTTCTTGAGATAAAGTGGCATTCTAAATTTGAATATGATTGATCTGTATGTTTCTTCCGTAAGTACTCCATGCTAAATTAATTCTTGTGCTGATTTCTGCTATTCTATATTCTATATTCTATATTCTTACTATTTCCAGTATTATGTTATTTATTAGAACGTCTTTTCTGTCCACTAGTTCGTTGTACATAACTTTATTTTTTGCCAAAATCTTGAGACCCACTTTATTGCTGGCTGTATTTAATTCGTTAATTTGTGCTTGTAGCTCTTGACTAGTGGCAATTAGGACTCTATGTCATAAGCGAATCTTAGATGGTTAAGATAAGAGTGTTTAAATAACTAACTAATTTTGAAACTAATACGCGTATCAAGGAAGAAAAAAATATAAGTATCGCTGCCGTAAACGAAGAATTACATTCGTTGTGCTTTCTCCGCTCAGAATATTCAAATGAAACAAGGGTGTCGATTAAAATTCAGCATTCCAAGCTCAACTCGATAAAAAATCACAAATTTTATTTCCCCGCAATGAGTTTGGAATAATGATGAAAGCGGAATAAAGATCCCCGGATTTTATTTTTAAAAAGTTTTTTTTTAATTTCTTCCCAATAAATAAAAATGGATAAATTAAAGAAATCTCAAAGACATCTGAAAAGATTTCCTAAAATTTTTCTCTATTTAAATAAACGGTTATTTTTTCTTGGAATGGTAGGGCATTATAGGCTTGGTGCATTTCAGTTGATTTCAACAAATTCCGACCGCAGCGCACTGTACGGCAGAAACCAGAAATTATTCCTATCTATTTCACGCCGCCATACTGATCGCATTAAAATAATATTGAAATCGTGGTTTTGTCATAATATTTAAGTATTTTAGTTTTTTGCTAGTGCAGTTATTGAAACTATAAAACACAGGTACGAGGTTTGTGTGATATAAGACTGTTTCGGGTAGTAAAAAATAAGCGAAAAAACGTCGTGTTGAATTGTGATTTGTGATAATTTCGTAAGTTAATAAAATTGCCGAAAAAATGTTAAGGCGTAAAGGAGAGCGTAATTAGGGCGTTGTTGTAATAACATTCAATAATTCAACTTTCCCGGATATTCAACTCT